TAGTTTTCGAGAAAATCGAGATTTTAGTTTTTCGTAGTTCCGCCGCCCGCCGCTAGATGGCGCCACCTGTACCGTTTTGAACCGAATTCGACAAAAATTCATTTTCTGGCTTTATTAGGCATCAAAACGCATCAAACCCTAATAGAAATTTGTTTCTAAATGCCTCAGGAACCATACTACGTCGTCAAAGTGCCGAAATATTGCACTTTGCATGTGCAGTAGAATTGACATATGCGGCTCATATACGTATCGCAATGCTGACACAAAAGAATTAATTACTCATTACCCGAACATTATTTATGAACTTTTATGACCGAACCATGTAAATTAACTGAAGTTTTGCAAACACTGAACTTTACATGGAAATAATGTTTCACTACATGACAAGTTTGTTTTATGTCTTCTCCGTAGCGCTGCTATCTAATTTTAGTTTAAACCGATAATGTCACGTGTGATGTGAGGTTTACGATTTGTAATTTATTGAACACTTGTTAATTTTAACAGCTGATAATAAAGATTCAGTTTATTTCTTTAAATATGTAAAAATATGATAATACAATGATTTACATCTCATTCAAAGTTAAAACTGTAAAGATCTCTATAAAACATAAAGAATACTGGGTCAAATCAGTACTTGGTATATCATAGTAATAACAAAATTCGTCAATAAAAAAACGCTCGAATACATAAGAGGCAACTAAGCTGATAACATTGTAATTACTATTTCTTAAACCTATCAATGCAATCATTAACAACTGTAATGTGTAAATAATATTCATCAACAATTGATGTTTTCTCATTTGACTCTCTCTCCTCTTTGGTTGTAGGTAAAAAAATACTGGCAAAATGCCTAAAGACAATACTGTGAGCCAAACTTTTTGACTAATACCGTATCCATGTAGGAAACTAGCCGTAAATAATGCCAAAGGTACAACATCGACGATCTTGGAGTACCAGTCATAAGAGATCCTTAAGTACTTTGTAATATCAATCGCTGATGTGATAAATGGAGCTCCTGGAAGTAATATCGCTTAAAAATAATGTGCTTATTATTATATGTTAATGTTATTGGTGCTGCTATATTCACTATATGTTACAGCGTGAACTAATTGTTTTCAAATAGTGAAGCCAAAAATATTTTTTAAGATGAAATTTATAAAAACATTATAGAACCTTCACATTATTAGATATGTATTTGCGTTTATTGAACAAAAACTTGTAGTGAAACAAAAAGAATTAAAAGATGATAGTATTTGATTTCAATTCTTAAATATGACATGAAAATAGACCAACACAGTTTTAAGATTAACTGAAAAATAGTTGGAACTTGCGAGAAATAATATGAGTAACAGGTTTTTAAACTACTATACTCTCTAATTTTAATAGGAATAATTGCTAAAGCTTATATTAAAGGGCCTGCAAAAACAAATGTTAGTAATAAAATGTTTTAATAAAATGAATAAAATAAATGTATTAGAATAATGGTTTAGTAACTATTATGTTATGTTTAAAAAGGAATTTTATAATATTATTTTAGCATTTGTAACTAAGATACACACACGAAAAGTCCAAGCACTATATTTTCAAAATCATTAAAATCTACAAACTTGTATTAGAAACTACAGTGTACACATAAATTTCTACATGAAAGCAAGTGATACAGGAAGTTGATAACATGCATAACGGACAAAAAGCAGCATTATGCAAAATTATTACATTGCTATATGCAAAGCATAAATACCCAATACCTAACACTTAAGTAAAAATTTACATAAAAACAAAAATACTACTTTACTACTGCTAAATAATGTCTGTTAAACTGTTCATTTTATTAAATGTGTTATTTGAATTGCTGCGCTAAATGGCAATATTATTTCTCACCTGTTCCAACCAAATTGAAATATCATAAATGAAGGATGAATACATCCTGTTCCTTTGATGTCCTATATTCAAAAGTCAAATACAATACCCTTACGTAGTTTCATACCAACTAATCCTTTGCGTGACCCCCAATAACTTATAAGATGAACATTTAGGGGGCCCTGTACAGATAATGTTATTTTAAAAATATACTAAACAAATGGCAAGATGCAAAATATACAAGTATCAGAAGATTATTTCTTACCAAATCTGAGCACTCCCAGTAACGAGTGAAAAAGTTGGATTTGAAAGGCACGAACTGACCAAGTAATTGCTTTACCATAATGATTATTAAGAGTTCTCATACAACCGATTGTTACGATTAATTTCGCTAAATGCGCTAAAACACTGCTTGGACAAAACATGGTCAATTGTTGCTTAAAGATACCCTACTTCTCGAAATAATTACAGAGGCGTAAGAAATTCAACCAAAATTGTCATAAAGTTACAATTAAAATTAATACTAAATAATGTTCTTGTTCATCGGTACATGATATTGTTACAGATTCTTTGGTACACTAGAAAGGTTATGAGTAAGCCAATCAGCTACTATTTTGAAGATAGCAACTCATGCTGGCGCATGCTGCTATGTATCTATCTGAGCTAGATCAACATTGTTAGAACATAAATGGTGATATAGATAGCGACACCGAGGGGTATTGTAACAATAATTTGATAGCTAATCTAACGTTCCTAGGGAAAATGGTGGTCAAGAGCGATGCGTATCATCCACCATAAAACCAGAGTATTTACAGACATTAGACCAATTTTATAGAACTCGATAAATAATCAAATTCTCTAATAAAAACCTCAGAATTGACAGAGTAACAGAGTTGAAGAGTAGCTTAGTGTAAAGTATTTAATTTAAAAAGTTGGAAGCATTTTGAGAGCCTCATTGTTCAATGCATTTTGAAAATTTACATTTTCGCGCGTGTCGTCTCAAAATGGCGTCGCTAACTCCATCTAGCAGTCAAGCACGAAACTATCGAAGAAAAAAATCGCGTTTTTAAAAAAAATAAAGCATATTTGGATTTTGCTAATGCTAAAAAATTGTTCTACAGGACAAATATATTTGGAGGGATTATTTTAGAATGCATTTAAAGTTCTGTATTTGTCAATTTAAGATGTTGCACTTTTATGGGTTTTAAAAAGCTTAGCCATCTAGCGGTAGGAAGTGGGAACTAATTGAACTGAACTTCGAATTATATTTTATACATTTATTGATTGTTCCGAGCTGTAAATACTTTCAAAATATTCTAAGATTTATTAATATTACTTTCCGATGCATGTTATAATCTGTTTAGTTGGAAGAAATTATTATTTAACGAACTAATTTAAGAACAGTACAACTGGTGTCACCTGCCACTGAACTGCGGTACTAGTACAACAAAAATTTGTATATTTCTTTAAAATTAGCAACCTGACGTAATTTCGGAATAAATTATATAAATAAATAAAAGTATGACATCTCTCTAAAGATATTCGTGAAAGAAGTCCTGTGAAAAAATGTTCTGCCGACACAATACACATGTCATAAAAGAATCGTATGAAATTCGTACAAAATATGTAACGAAAAAAGAAACAGTTACATGATTAAAAGAAGTCAGAAGGATGAATCGGTCAGACCAATTTTGGCATCAAGACAGAAAGTTCTTTAGGTAACCGCAAATAGCAAGTATTTTCTGGGAAAAAAAAAGATAGGTATGATGGAGGTCAATGTTTCGTTCAAAGCGCCAAAGTGACTAATACATCACCGATGCGCATTCAAGTTTCTACTAAAAGTTTTGCAGCAGTACTGCAGTATTTTTACCCTTGACAACTCGTCGTGTAATCGTGGTAAATGTTCGTGCGCACTCGACGTGAAATCGTTACACCACCCTAAACTCTGCACGAACTTCATGGCATTGGAAATTTTGATTTTGTTTGTCTGCAGTGGTTCTCAAAACAAATATCGGAAGGAACAAACACCGTATTAGCTATATATTGTACTTCAATGTATCCGTCTCTTCATGGTCCGCCAGTACCGTGTTTTACCCTAGTACTTTTCATGCTACCATGAATTAACAATTTTTATTACAACGATACCATAATAACTAGCTTATAATGAAGCCTAGTACCGAGGTGTTATTTAGGAAAGGAATAATAATACATTTCAGTCGAGTAACGGATAATAGCTATTTATGAATTCAAATAACAGCTCACTTAAGAAATCTAACAAGTGCTGCCATCTATCGCGAAAGGAAGATTTAATTTATCTGCCAAAAACGTTAAAAAAGGTATGGAAGTATATTTATAAATATGTGTCGCAAGACAAATTTTGAAAGTACCAAAAAATTATAAATGATATTCATGAAATAATAATTGGAAAATGTTTCATTCCCAAACAGGTGTCACAGATTAGATCAGCGTTATTATTTAAGAAACACTTGTTTTTAGTGCATCATACGAATTCAATTAAGATTAACGTTACAGTAGCGAGTAATGTTGGCATAACTTTTGAGCGTGATTTTATTATCACACTTTGGCAAACAGAAAAGCAGCACAATGAAAACTTATCAGCCGTTTTCAAGCGGGGCAACAATAAAACGTTTACTCACATTTAACACCTCATTAAAGAATTAACAAGCCTGAAATAGGTACTTGTGTGTCGTGTATGTTTACAAGCCTAGATAAGTCTGCTTAGGTAAGTATACCGTGGTTATGTGGTTGCGTCCTCTAAAAATAGAATTTCGCGACATTTTTATATACAGAACCGAAAACTATTTTAAAATCTACCAGAGCGGCCAGTAAACTGTAATTTAATATTAAATGGGTCCTTGAAAGTAGCCTCGCCTTTTTTACACAATCAAGATTCAAGGCGTTAAATAAATATTATTCTCTTGTTTAAAGTCTCGAATACTGATTATATACTTTTTTTATCTTGCTTATTATTCTACAGTGGATAATTAAATCAACTCGTGTTCAGACTTTCAATACATTGTAAACGTTTAGTCCTTTAAGCACTGACGCACGGTGACGCATTCTCCCTCCTTTTTCTCACCAATTCCCTCTCGCTCTAAACACATCTTTTATCGCCGCGATCTTCCCAAACATTCCCGGAACTCGACCACCCTACGTGACATTCGAACCATTCACCCAAACAATCTCTCGAAAACAGTATTCAGATCAGTTTTCGCAGTCATATTCGATTACCCTTTTCAGTTTGCCTGGGACGTGGCGGCAGATTATCGCCGTCACAATATCATGACTGGAATTGCAACGCTGTTGCAATTATTATGTTACGTGACGGGAAAAACACAGGCAATTTTTTCCTACTTATCAATGTCAAATGATTTGTATCTATTTTCACCTTCTGGATATTTATGGTACCAAGGTACAAATATGGAAGCATACTTATGATGGGTAATTATAATAATTATGGTAGAGTATCACTATTATTTTTAAATGGTTACTTAGTTCATGTGATACATGTACATATACACATAGCATAGACATAGACATAGACATAGACATAAACATAGACATATACATATACCTATACATATACCTATACATATACCTATACATATACCTATACATATACATACATATACATGCATATACATATACTAACTGAACCATTTTGACTTTACAGGCACTGCACACACTCGTTTCTAATTCGGCAACGGAAATTGCCAGTTTCTTCGGCTAGTAATTAACACGAACAATGGGATATACGGTGTTTCAATTTCGTTTTAACAGAATCGAATTCATCCGTGAGACAAGCTCCGTGTTGAAGAGACGACACCGCGGAGTGCTCTCTTGTTAACGATTTACTCGATGCTGGGTACAATGCGCGTGTAACGAAGTAAAAGAAAGAAAGAGCGAAAAGGAAAAGAAAAGGGAAAAACCGTAATCTTGAAAGCGGGTCGGATCTCGAGACTTCACCGACCTAGACATCACATTGTATGTGTCATTCGTGATATTAAAAACCTGGGTCACGTTGCTATCGATCATTGATGTACCGCTAAAACATCTTGCAAATTTTATAGGTGCGTTGTGTACATCTATGTGCAATTAACTGACTATTTATCGTAGGATAAAATTTAAAAAATTTCATCTTGTATATTGGACTTATTTTGTTACAGAACATGTGTACATTTTGAATGTCTATGAATGTATGTGTCATGTCTATGGATGTCTATGCTTTGTCTATGAATGTCTATGTCTTGTCTAAGTGAGCTACAACAGCTAAATGTGCATGTGAACCTGTGGAACTTATTTGAAGATCTCTCAAATCCTCAGATCTCCAAGAATTACCTTGATGAAAAATTCTTCTAGTTCCCGCATCGAGTTTCTTCAAATTTTTACTTCTCCAGGTGTTCCAATCTCGGCTTTCAACGTAAAATACCGTAATACGATGAACTTTGTAACTTATACTGCACAAAAGGTTCCAGTAACTTCGGAAGAACTCGTCAACCTTTAATGAAACAATCGCGGAGAAATTTAATGAATTCCGCTTTCAGGTTTTAAAGTGAATCGTCGGATAATATTTAGTTCAATGTGCCCGCTATTGTTGGAGAAACAAGGTGAAACTTTTCACGAACTGCTCGATGATTCGTCCGAATGACGTATTGTTTGTATTCGTCTCCCATGTGCGGACGGAAACCTTGCTTGGAGAAAATGTCAGTCTCAACGTTCGACTTTCTTCTGTGTTCAAGATTCTGGAAAAAAAGCGTTTTTAGAATGAAAGACTCAGACACTATACATGGTACATAATTTCAGTATTTTCTGCATAAAATGAGTTGTGTTAAGATTTCTTTTTAAACTATCAAATATTATACACTTCAAGTACTCATATATTTCATACATTATATATGGTACATAGTGTTAGTACTCACTGTGTAAATTGAGTTGTGTTAAGATTTCTTTTCAAACTATCAAATATTATACACTACAAGTACTCATATATTTCATACATTATATATGGTGCATAGTGTTAGTACTTACTGTGTAAAATGAGTTGTGTTCAGATTTCTTTTCAAACTATCAAATATTAAACACTTCAAGTACTCATATATTTCATACATTATATATGGTGCATAGTGTTAGCACTCACTGTATAAAATGAATTGTGTTAAGATTTCTTTTCAAACTATCAAATATTATACACTACAAGTACTCATATATTTCATACATTATATATAGTACATAGTTTTAGTATTCATATAAAATGTGTTAAGAGCTCCTCAAACTATCAAATATTAGACACAAGTACTCATGTATTTAGACAGTTTAGGTACCTGCTCTAGGTAAGTGCTAAAAGGCTTGGTTTAAGTACCGACTAAGTACCACTACAGAGTATTCAGGTACCTACAAATTTCTAAACAGGTGTATCATAAATATTGGCGCCTTGAAAGTATTAAAAAATTAATTCAGACTTGTATTGCAGGTACCAACGTGCAAGTTGAGCTTCCTTTAAGTATTCTACATCGTGTGGAGAACAAAATACATCAATTTGAGAATTTCCCAAATTCTCAAAGCCTACGTATTCTTCATGAGACGTTCTCATGTTCTACATTTTTAAACCTTAAGACTCTGATAACGGGAGATCACTCGAAGAAGAATTCTGCATAATCCTCGACTGCGAACGTTTTCTTTAAATATCGTTCCCTGGCCTTGGTTAGATCGAGGACGCTGCAAGTTTTGCGGGAATTACGTAAATAATTTGCCAGAATGAATGAACGTGACTTGCATGATATTTTTAAATAATTCCTTGTGACCTTATTCGCGGAGGGGAGAGTACCCTTAAGTGTTCATATAGTAAATTGCAAAAATGTTCAACGAGATACTCGTTAAGGAATTGATTTTTTACCAGCATCTGCACCGATAAGATCACAGGTGAATTACAAACCGACGCACCATTAGCGCCGAGCAAACGGGGGCATTTGCCCCGGGCGTAGGGATGTTCCGTCACGTGTCTGTATCCAGAAATGTCTCGAAGTCTCTCTGAATACCGTAGATTAATCGAGCAATGCATTTACAGTAAACACATCTGATAAAATCGACGCGTCAAACACTTTCCGTTCAAAAAACAAAACCAGAATGTCAAAGAGCAGAAATATGATGCACTGATTATCATACGTTAAGTTGATCAAGATTGACACAAATTGTTTTTTTTCGACACTGAAAGAAGATACGCGTAACGCGATACCTAATCCTATCGCGTGATGCACCTACATATAATAACAATGCCTTGCAAGTAATGGCTCTGTCATGCATTTTCTCCGGTGAGCCAGCGATCAATGGGATATCGCGTTCAAATCAATCCTATTGCATTTTGTTTCGCGTATCCAGGACAGCCATAAAGAAAATAAATAAAAGTCGCTTGATCAACGTCCAACGCAAAGTTGCGATCGATGCTGCGAGATCTCAAAAATATTCTGTCGAAGAATGGATTCGTTGTTCCTTTCACTCGACCTTTTTGAAGCGGACATTGGTTTCCTATAAAACAAAAATTACTTGGCAAGAGTGGGCAACTGGTCATCTTCACTGAGATGTAGAACACTTGTCATATTAGAAATTCCTGTGGATTAAAATTCCTGAAAATCCAGTCACGCGAAGTACATTAGGTTTATCTTATAATCTAGTTACTCGAGCAGAAATTTTTGGATATAAAAAGGTGCACAGTTATGTATAAGTAAATGTGATAGAGCGTGCAATAGTGGGTAAAGAGCAAAAAGTGTTGCCGGTGTCGTTTACATGCCACGAGAATACGATCCGTAGAAGAGAAAACACAAGATGTAATGGTTTCCATTCAGGTACTTTAATAAACATGTACAGTTGAACGTATTTCTGAACGTATTATTATTATTATTAATATTATTATTATTAATATTATTATTGATGATGTATATATCACCTTTTGAACACGGGCGGACTCTAGCGTCATTTCACGATATGACCGGGACAACATAGTGAAATGATAAACGACCTTGAACCCGCCTAGTACGCATCGAATTAAATTATTATAAACTATAATTGGCAATGTTTCGCGTGACATAAGAAGTTATGAACAAGTAACCGATCGTTTAATCCCATTCCACCACAATGTTAAAGAAAAAATCGTGCGTGTCTGTTCCGAGGAACGAGATCACAAAAGAAACTGAATGTGCGAATAATTGCGAAACAGAATCGTTGAAAAGTTGCGTCGAATTTTTGGCGGACGTCCGTGTCGGTAAAATAGTATTCTACTGTAGTTTCATTGTTTGTTTCATTAGGCATGCGCGAATTTGTTGCACGTAATTTCAACACAATTTGACAGCGATAGGACAGACGCAGCTATAAAATTGTGCTGCTGAAGACACTTTCGATAAGTTAGAAAAAACGATACGAGATTGTCCATTTTGTTATAGCATATAATCACGTGTATACAAAACCGGAGGTGCTTGAACAGTCATCGAAAAGCAATCCGAAGCGATTAATTCGTTATAAATAATTCGCTAATGCCTAAGTCATTCGTGCACACGGACACGGAACACACGAACGTCCGTTTACGTTTCACACCTAACAAGTAATGTACACACATCCAGCCGACGATCATGCACGCATTCTCTCACGCTCGTACGCATACGCACGCAACTTCCTTGTATGTCACGTTTCAGGCTCCACCAACAGACGGTAGATACACGTATTGCTATCAAATATTACAGACTCGATAGAGCGTACATTCGATCGTTTCAATGCTTTATTTGGCAGTAAAGAAATTAAGGAATTAATCTCGCGGAATTACACGCCTCTAATAGCAACGCAATGCTGTATCTATCTACGTAGACTCGTTATTTTACACTGTCACATTGGCGTAATTAAGAGTGATTCCCCAAAAAACTAACCCTCGTACATAAGACAGCGCCATCTTGTATAAGAAATTTAGAAATGTTACAAAGGTTAAGTCAAACATCGTCAAAATTTCCAAGTCATTTAGATATGGAACGTTTGTACTATTGTAACAGTAGCTGCCAGATCTGGTCCAGAATAAATTCCTAATTACGCCAATAGTGTTACATAAGTTGATTTGGAAACCAAGGGAGGGCCGACTGGACGCTGAAGCTGTCGCGTTTGGACACAAAGAAAAAGGAACGTTTACAAATGAATTTCGCACGATTTCGGTAGGATGAGATCGACGCGTGCATATCCGTGAACATAAATTACGATCGTTGATTCGGTAGAGCATGGAACCTACAATTGAGTAACAAGTGTTTATCGTAAGAGGAAAATGCTTACAATCTTCTTGCTTCCTTACGGCGTACAAATGTCCACGCTTGAGCTTTTTTCATGTTCTATACATTTCGAGTCAATTGGCATTACAAAGTGTGCACGACCCATTCGTGCACCTATACACGTATATACAGGATATTTATAAACTTCTGCCATTTCAAAACTGGAAAAAAAAGATAAAAGTTTTGTTACATTCTTTCCGTATCAGCTTCAGCAGTTGATTCAAACAGCAGACGTTTATGGATATTCGGTATATTTCCTTCCAAGCTTTAAGGTCACGATTAACCTTTTGTTCTCTTCATTTAACACGTTCGCTACGAATATGGTGGTTCATCTAATCGTTTGGAAGATGTGCGTCCGATTCATTTGTAAATAGAAATCCGCAATAATATGTGAGTACGCGTGTATTGTTCCTACGATAATAACCGCTATATCTGAAACTATCTTAAGCGATAAATAACACTGCAACTCGAAGCAGAGTGAATTACCATTAAAAGTGAAAAATTACGGTAAGACTAATGTACGAGCCAATGACGTCTCGTATATCGCAGCGAAAGTGTTAATCAACGTAAAGGTGAAACGTCTCGCTGTAGTTTCGTACGAAACCGCCCTTTTGTGACGTACATACCATTCTCTCGCAATTGCATTCTATCCATTACCGTTGTCACGATATACAATGTACCATTTTACCGCTTCGTCGTAATCCATGTAACAAAAAGAACTTATAAGAATTTCTATCACTCTTGAAAGAAAAAGAACATTGAAAGAAGTCGAAACAAATTACCTCGTTTCGTTAATCCTCAAATGTATCACAGTATTAAAAGGAACTGAAAATAGCTCTTAGTTCTGGAATAATGAACACTTGTGTCGTGATTACGTCAAAGATAATCTAGAAACGCATAAAGATCTCATAATATCTTACCGGAGTAATCCGATAGAAAGGCGTGCTTCGCAGATCCTCGTTTTATCATCGATCTATCGAATCTCTACGGTAGGCCTATTACGGGTGTATTACACATCTGTGAAAACCCCGTATACAAATGAAATCAACAGCCAGTAAATAAGATTCAAAACAAAAATGCAAGAATGCGGATCGCCATTCGAAGAATCGATGAATCATCGACTGGTGGTTCGACAAATACCGAATCCATATTCATGAGGACTCTTTCCTTTTTTATTTTCTCTCTTCAACTTGTTCCGAAGCGGCGGTAAACTCGCCGACTTTTACATGGTTCTGCACTAGTTAGCGCGCACGCATGCGTGAGCGCATGCGCAGATATAAAATAATGCGTTCTGATGGTAAAAAAGTCGTACGCACATTCTCCTGACATGTGTCAACCGGCGAAATTCGGGGAGAATATCTGCTTGTAAACTGCATTAACGCACGCTGTGCAATGATGTCTACGATTACACGACGCTTAGAGAAGTCTTTCGACGTAAACGTTTAACGAGACTGGACGCCCACACGCGTAATAACACGATTTAAAATCCTCTTAACCTAGCTTACTGGCGATGACGGTAATAGGATCGAGTCGAGAAAAGTCGCTGAACGATTCGTATGCAAGTGCGCATGCGCAGACAAATCAAACACCTCGATTTACAAAATCGAGGAATCGATTACAAGTTGTGATCATTTCAAGATAACCTATCTTCGATTACTCGGATACGAATCGTTCACTCGTTTTCCGTTCTTGTTAATGTTAATGTTTGTGTTCGCCTTAATGCCTTCATTACCCGTAAACGATTTCGCTCGTCAACGTAAACAACGTGCATCGAAATGAAACCGGAAGTAGAATGGATTCGGTACGCTCGTCGATTTCACGCAGCCGTAATCGAATTCTTCGGTGCGTGTAGACTACCTGTGAATTCTAACGACATAAAGACAATGCGAGAAAAAGGAAAAAGCATCGACGAAGGAAACGCGTCAAGTATTCAAATTCCAACCGACTCAGTTGTGCTCAATTGCCAAACAGGGTTTAAATTGTTCGCAGTCGATAACTGCGTGGGCGTCGCGGACGAATCGTTTCCCTTGAACCTTCAAATCCCGCCAAACTCGGCCGATTTCGTGGGAGATTTAAATTGTTCACGAGACGACGGGAGTAACTTAGAACGTGAATAAAATGACTAGTAAACTATAACGAGTCCGTATCTAAGTATGTACCGGGTGGCGCAAAAAGAAACGGTTATATATATGTTACCGTAAAAGCATAAAATTCTATACATTTACTTGGTCATAAATTTTAGTATCAGCGAAGATGCTTCTATGAAACTTTCAAGTTCATTGCTCACGTTTACAGTAACATATACATACATCAAATGAAGTATATTATAAAAAAGTGTCGGTAAGTCTTTGATGTTTCACGCTTACATGTCTATGTACATATTGTTCAATGATTACGAATGAAAATCGATATTATTTCATGACGATCACCAATATCCGGGAAATTAATATTATATCTATTAAATAATATACACACATGTATAAATAAAAATAAAAATTATCTTAATGTTTTAGCGTTTCGGACTTCTCTCCTTGCGGTTGTTACGTTTATTGCCAGCAGCATCATTATCGAGTGTTCCTTTGCACCACCGGGTATAGAATAAAACGGATTTAGAGCTTTCGTAAATGTACATCCACTGGACGCGGCTACGTGTAGCGATGACATATATTACATAAGGCGCGGAAATTCTATCTAAGCGGATCACAGCTGCTTCCGCTTGGCCACGTTTTGAATCTCCCTTAAGAATACCCTCTACCCTACCCCTTCCCCCACACACACCTTCGCACACTTACAAACTACTGGTCGATTTTTTTCGAGATTTTTCGCGAAATGCGAGGAGCACAGACAAAGCAAGCAGGCCCTGAGGTTATCAAAGTGTCTTATTGAATCGACGATAATCGATCTTTTATCGATCTGTACTTTTCTAGAAACATCACAAGAAATCGTGATTCGACAATCGAACACGTTCGATTCATAAGACAGTTCGATCTAAATAAACGCAGTTAGTCGATTAATTGAAACACTGTAGTTATTCGAGTTTTTGTAGAAATGAATTTTTGTTCGATTGCTGCTTAAATTCTGTCAGCAATTTTTTTCTAAAGAGTTTAAAAATATTTAGAGTAGATACAAATTTCAACAGCCGATTCAAAAATAGTATTATATAATTTGGAGAGAGTTAGAAAAGCATGTTACGTTTTTAGTAGAACTTATGCAGCAGTTCGAGAGATTGAGGAAAATGTAGTCGGCGTATTACTAATTTAAAAAAGTTTTTTCGAAAAAAAATGTGATTCTCTGATCAAAGTTCAACAAAATTTCCATACCGATATTATTCGCCGATAACGGTTATCTGATAAAATGGGAATCTTTTACTGCAATGCAGATCGAACTCCGGAAGTTCTAGACCCTCCCTAATTATGCACGAATAATACTAATTTTATGTACGCGTCGCGATTGCGTAGCTAATTACGTGAAAAACCCAGTAATAAATATTAAAAAAGAACGAATATTAATCCCCTCTTTTTCGTAATGCCGTAAAGTTTCGTGCGCGTGCGCATGCGCGCGCACTATACAGGTTAGGTGCTAACACCTAACTGTAGATCAAGCGTTAAAGACTAATTTTTAATTTTACAAGTATCTCAAATTGTGTATCATTTATACTTTGGGCTTTGAAACATGTGATTCGAATTAGAAGTACATTGCTTCTATTGCTATGAATTTCAAATTATACTTCGATTAATTACGCGCGCATTGTTTTCGTAGCATATCATCTCCGCGATGCTCGTTAATTGTTTTACACTTAAATTCTAATTCTAAAGCTTTGTGACTTGATTCCATTAATCCACGCGACCGTCGTCTACATTTATTGCGAGATAGATTCTCTGTAAACATTTTTGTTCCTCGATAAAAGTTACACAATCGTTTCGATTTAATATTATAGAATTTCGACTATCGATTACGCGCTCGAAGAATGCTGGAGCAACGCGGACAGTAGAAACAGAAAGTATTCATCGCGGATCCTTCCTTGTTTTCATTTTTTATTATGACCATGAAGAGTTTCGATCACGACGAAGATAAACGAAGACATAGAACAGAAATGGAATTGTGTTATCAATGAAGAGTACTAGTTCAAGTTTGTTGATTATCGTGCTTGGAGAATTAGTTTCGTCAATACTACAATAAAGCCGCAGTGAGTCATGTAACGCGGACGCATAGTGGTGAAATTGTCATTGAAACTTTACGATTATTTCAGCTTGCAATCCCATTTAAACCGTACGGGACGTTGTCCCCTAATAATAGATTTAAAAAGACGCTACTATAGCAATTAACAAACTAGCCAAAAAGTATTGATAGACCGCGATATTACAAATGTGCCAATATATTTGGCTATATTCGTACAATTCGCTCAAGGAAGATGCACGAGCCTTTCGGCAACTCTCGATGAAGATCGTCCAACATCGTAACACAAAAAACGAAAAGCGAACGTCGCGTGGTATTCCCGAGAGTATCGAATTGATACGTAAACCGCTCGTTTCTATGAATTATGCATGCAAATAAAATGAATCGCTCAGCAGACAATGGAAGAAAAATTTCCGTCGTATATTATTTTGACTTTCAAGACTTCAATGTCAAATACCCGTTAAATTACGTCGTATAAAAACTTATTCAAATTCGAGGGATCTCTCGGTAAGTTTTTAACCCACCACAAACGTCAACTTTCATTTTTATATACTTTTATCTCTATATATCTCATCTCTAAGTATTGATATTGATCTTTGTATAGAACACAATGCGTCACACGTAGGACAGCATGAGACGCACGTGGTGCGTCGTCAGTCTTGAACGCTATAGCAAAAACAATGTTCATTCAGGTGTTCTTATGTTCTATACGTTCTATACGTCAAACGACGATGCTTATTAGTCTAGCGAACAAGGTAAGCTCGAGGACGCTGTTCAATTATGTAATGATAGTAAACGAGACTCGGGGTTTGATTCGTTCTTACGTGTACGGATTGATCGTATATAGCGCGGACGTTTGCGTGAGCACGTAATCGCACGCGGACAGATATGACCGATACGCGTAGAGGTATAGCCGCCTCTTTTTCCGAACTCATGGAATCTTTTGTTTTAGGACAAACACATAGGCCTTTCGAAAACATTTTATTGGACTTGCTAATGTACTTTGACTCTTCAAATTAAAGAACTGTCGAATAAATGAAGTGGAGCAATCAAGATTCATCTGTTTGGTAATCGTCATTAAAACGATGACTAAATTTATTTTATCTTTCTTCCGTTTGAGATATTCCGATAAAGAACAATCAGGCCTGAGTCACTTTATCACGCATAACCTCTCAACGCACGATTTATTTGTCAGATGCGTTAGTCATAACCAAACTATTTACAGGTACAATATTGAAACGAATGAGGAAAGTTAAAACTGAAGGAAATGAAGAAAGTTTTATATTGAACCTTGAGATATTATAATTGGAATTAAACTGAAAATTAATGCGAGAGAAATGTGCGACATTTGAACTGTCGATGCGTCACGCATGACTCGTCAAAACATACTAAGAGGTTAATTTATGCTCAATTGAAAATGCGTCACGTTTCAATCGCATAATTGTACACTTTCTGAGAAAAACGGAAGAAGTTCATCGAATGTTTTACGTAACTTTGCTTACACTTATACGTGTACATGTGAAGTTCAGTATAACACGAGCATTGTTGCGCACACGCCCATAAATCGAATTTCCGATATCGCTTTATTACCTCTAGATTTGGTTTACATGGAACACGCGCAGCGTTCTCATCCGTGGAAATTCGATTAGGTAGAAAAAAATCATTGACGCAATTGGAGGAGAATTATTTTGGAAAGGATTAGAGAATCCGTGTAAAAGGAAACGAACGGGATTTGAGCCTGCGACCTTTGCCATTACAAGCTGCCACGGAAATATCTATTAATGGAATTTTATTTTTCCCCGTTTCCTCATCCTGATCTCTTATTCCAGGGAAAACGTTTAGTAATTCCACAACAAAGTCTTTGTGCGCTCTCAGTTTAAAGGATTTCTCAGGTTAGGTTAAAAATTTCTGGTTATTTTCACTAAGCCACAATAGCTGAATACACATCGATGTAATTCAATTTTCATAGAACAATGAGAAAGATAGTTTTTTGTATTTACTGAATATATGTTTATGAGTAAAGTGCGATAAAAAACTTTATGCAAGCAAAACAAAATAAAAGCGTGTATCACAACTGTAGTAATTGAGTTCAAAACGATAACCGAAAGAAAATCAATAAAATGTTTGATAAAAGATTTATCGTGAATCACTGTGAAGAAATCTTTAACACGAAGTTTTATCCGTGTATTTTCCCGGTTCTACAAATACGGTTTCTCTTTCGTTTAAATTCAACTTTTTACCGGAGTGAAATGCACCGGAGGTATCTAGTAAATTTTAATCGCATCTAGGAACATAGCGTGACAACTTCAAAGAGCGTCCTTTGAGCGCTGCGAAGCAATCTTCCCGAGATTTCTCGATATTGTCCTGGTTAAACGTTTTGCTTCCTCTCATTGAAACGTTCTAATCTTTCGGCTTTATTTTTAGAACCTCTAAGAACTGCACTTTACTAGATAATCTTTCTGCTCTACTTTTGAACCGTTTTTTCTTCCAAATTATCGTTCGATTTAATTAGTTATTTAAATAGTAATTCAAAATAATTTTATTCGTTTATTTTTTTGACAGAATTTTCAATAATGAAGGAGAATGACCATAATGGAAATTAAATTTCGCGGGTTTTCTGAGGACCTCGATCGCCGCAAACGAATCGATATATCGACCCGAATCGCCAATGAAAATCAAGGGAATTTGCAAGCGGCATAAATAATGGCGGCATGACAGCGCTTCCTTCGATAAATCAAAGTGGTTAGGTAGGCAATATTTTGAGTTTTATCGCAAAGCATAAGTCGTAAAATGAAAAAAAGGACAGCGTTCACGGTCTAATCCACGAGGAATAAACGTTATTGCGATTGCTCCATCAATCGACGCGTTCTCTTTATATAAAAATGAATTGCACTCGATGTGGATATTGAGCAAAATTCGCGTGGGCTAAGTTGAAATTGTAATATATTTAAATAGAAAAAAATTCTACAAAAAATATACATTCGAAGAATTTCGACGAAAGTATAATTCTTAACATTAGAAAATACATATATACATATTTATATTAATACTTTGATGACCAACGTCACATATTCATGATTATTAATTATAACAAATTTTGCAGGTACAAATATAATGTAGAATTTCAGCAGCCAATAGGAATTGTGAAAGCAGAATCATCGATGGATGTTTACTGTCTGTGTGGTAATTTAATAATTAAAATTAATTAAATGTTAAATCAGATAAATAAAATAAGTAAAAATATTTACAGAAACATGAAGTTAAATTGGCAAGAGAAGAGGAAATCCACGAAATGCTGTGGGCCATCAAAGTGTTAAAAAATGGTAATGGAACTTTTTCAATTGGAATGCAAGCCCTAAAATCTAACTTCATGACAAATGATTTTCAATGACAAAATTTTACAGCGAATAGTAAAAAAAAATGCGGCAAAAAGCTTAAAAAACTGCTCGATTGTTTTAATTAAACGCGTGCTTTATTTGTTGAAATCCGACATGCGATAGTGGGTTAAGCAGTTATTGGCCGCATACTGGTAAACGACAGTATATAAGTATCACAATTAATTGACCATTTGACTGATGAAAGTGTCAGGGTTCAAAAGCTTTAGATTCACTTTTGTCGTTAAGCGTCTCTCGTTGTACAAAACATTTGCTGAATCTGCAACTTCTCACCGAGCTTGATAACATTTCCCGCGATTCTAGATATCGTTCTATCTGTATCAACGCAAATTCGGAAGATCTCTCCATATTTACAATCTTAAATATTCGATGACGATAAATCACCTGTAGTCTATTTCGTGAACACGCTAAACGACTTGTCTTTTAAGTAACTTATTCGTCAGGGTAAACTAACGAAGGAAATTAGAAACTCGCCTTGCTAAGCGTTGGATAAAAACTTTCAACTCTTCGTTCGTAAAAAAAAATTATTAAAAATTCAAATTAATTTTCTTTAATTTCAGAAATATAGTAAGACAAATATTAAAATTAATTTACAATTTATTTCATGATTGTTAAATATTGTAACAATTTAAAATAGAGTATCATTAATAGCTGATATGCTTATTTTTTTCCAGGGTCATTTCCCAACGTTATGCAGTAACGTAAATCGTGCAAAAAGAGAAACGCAGAAAGATACGATGGCGAGTAAACCTTGGAATAATCATTTCACCGCATGTTTTCCAATCATGATTCATGAAACATAACAAAAATGGCATATTTTTTCACACTGATTACGAAGAGGATAATTGGTCCTAATATCCTCTAACGAACGAAAAACAAAGAGTTGATAGTTTCGCTGAGAAGCACGCAATCGCGATCGTTGTAACGCACGTGACACGCTAGGAATGTAGAAAAGCAAGGAACCATTTGTTTCTATATTATCAAGACTTGCAAAACCTTTGTATCAAACTGTGAATTGTTTAAGTACACTCGGATGCAATGTAGGCTTTTAAAAATTAAATATGTTACACATTTTCAAAACATGTAATCCCAAATTAAAGTTCTAATCAAATACCCAACTAGGGTGATTTAAGCCTACAATGCCCACCGGTGTTCCTGTAATGAAGTTTCCTAACTTTTTCTGGCTTTTAAAAATGAAACAGAAGTAGTTAATAAATATTCTGATAAACACAGTTTTTCATGATGCAAAAAAAGATGATTAGGAAGTAGCATATAGAAGGAGAAAATGATTAAGTACTTGTAGAAAATTACAGTTAAAATTGTTCAAAATTATCATAGCAACGATTTTCTTTGATTAGATAATTTCTTGTAATAATACTGATACGAAAGGTATAATATAAAGAAACGTTTGTACGTGATATATACCTGGTGTGACTCGTCAAGATATAAGATCTTGCTTAATACAAATTTTAATACCGTTAAATAATCTTAGATCCTGAGAACGATATGTACGAATCGTTATTTGCTAAAAGTTTGTTCGATATAAATATTGCAAAATTCAATACCGTTATCTTCATACCGGATGTATTTTAAATAACGCCTCCATTTATTATTTAACTAGCCGTATTTACCAACGCACGTATACATTCCTCGATTCCACTTTCACCAATTTAAAAATTATGCGGTGCCAACGAGGAATATTACCGCTATTTAAAATGATTGATTCGAATGTTAACGATTTGCGATTGTGTACCGATTGATATTTAGAGCTTTGTAAAACGTGTTAACAAATTTTAGCGAGAAACTGAAATATTAAACGTAACATTGAATGTATAGATATCACATATGAAAATAAGCGTGTATTTCGAGAACGATTAGTGCTACGTCGACAAGACGTTAATGTTGATTCTGGCACTATATCTTGACTTCTCGTTCTAGTAGAATATATCGCTAATTTCACGCGCATGTTACGATTAATGACTCAAAGTTAACCTCGTTTCGAGCGAGAATTTAGAAAAAAAATTAAAGCAAACAAATATTATTTTGTAACATGATCTATACAAAAACGAAGCACTTTTATAATATTGCACGAATAGTGAGTGTATCGTAACGAAATGACGGAGATGATATGCTAAACAATTAAAAATTATTTTCACGCGCACGTGCGTAGGTACGTGTCGTACGATCGTCATATTCACGTATATGCGTGCTTGTGTAGGTGCGCGCGCACGCGGGCATCCCCCTATTTGTTACAAGGTTTGCGTGTACAGCATGTTTTTTTACTCATCTAACGTAATACATCTATAATAAGTACTATATGCGTAATAGCATAGTATGTCGAATATATTACAATACACCCACGTCGTTGTACGTTGTAGATGTCGATCTTAAACTATCAATTAAAGGAAAGAAATAGGAAAGAGGAAACTAAAAAACAATAACGAGTATATTAGGTTGGTAACCAAGTTCGCGGACCTCATGAAATGTTAACACAAATTGCTGATCAATGTAAGCACTAAATCATTGATGCAACTAGGAGGATGTGCCTTTCCCATGTAACGTGGAGGATGTAAGGCAAAATCTCATACTAAAGATTTAAAATTTTTTAACTTATCAAATTTCTCAGATATACAGATACAAAAATGAAATTTGCAAAAACCGTTTGGTAATGTCGGTGTAGGGCGTTAACGCTATTGGTACAATCAGAAGATCCGGTCCACTAAAAATCTTTGTTACACCAACGTTAATCTTTAGTGATGAGGATAAATGAAAAGATTGCAAATATAGTTGCCAACCTAATATAAGAATTTTGTTCACGCGCTATTTAATACTTGACTTTCGCCTTAACCTCTTCCGCGACACCACCCCACCTGAGCTTGTAAACGCGCGATCGCCACTGTATGAGAGGATCTAGAACCGCCTGAAGGAAAAGATAGGGCCTGGTGATCTCACTGAGTAACCACCCGCAAACGAATTCTAATTTGTTGAACGGCAACGGACCGTTCTGCACGACGCACAACAGCGTCCAGTCCAACATGAACCACAAGAGTATATGCACCAAGTAGAAAACCAGAGAATCCCACTCAAAGAGTACGCTAGCCGCCCAGGAAGCACAGGCACCTAACACTAAACACTCGCTCAACGGCTCGAGAATAATCATGGTAGGTAACATAGCCACTCGCAGCTTCGCCCACCTTCGTAGCCTCGCTTGGAAAGAATGCAGCTCGCAGTGACCGCTGTTTTGCAAAGCCGGCTGCGAGGATACGGTGATGCGCCAACCCCGGTCGGTCAATGACTTCGCGTAGAAAAAATCTTCGGCGAGATATACACCGAACTTCTTCAATCCGCCGACCTCGTCGAGAGGCGCTTTTCTCAGCAACGCGGACATACCCGTGTGACAGTTTATCCTGAGTAAATCGGCGGCGAGGTACATACGCGACTGCACCGTGCCAAAGAAGATTTTCTCGTAAGCGGCCGCAAAACCCTCGCGATCACAGGTGAACGGCATCTGGTGTACCAACGCGACCTTGTCGGTCATATAATTAACCATGTCTAACAGAGTGTCCTCCTTCATCTTGATACCACTGTCACTGATCAACACTAACTCGTGTTTCGCCGCCTCGTACGCCGGCTGCATATTGTTGATTTTCGGATTCACGCCCACGTTGCAACCACCGATGAAAAGTTTTGCGTCTACCTCCGGATACTTCTCGATCAATTTACGCACCAACATCAACACTGGGTCCGAATCGTCCTCCACGCAGAATAGTAGCTCGTAACGAGGGTATTGCATGGTGAAGAATGTCTCCAAGTTACTGAATAGATTCGGATCAACGCCCATCAGCGGTTTTATGATCGACACGCCGGGCAACGGCGTCTCGTAGGTCGGTAATTGAGTAACTTTACGGTGCAGCTTCCACCGTCCAACTATCAGAGCCAGTGCGTGAACGATCCACATAACCGACCAAAATATCATGAAGAATATCGCGAACCCGTATAGGGTATATACCATGGAGTTCATCTTCGAACGAAGATACTCGTTTCTCGGAGGTGTAACCTCCGGGGTTTCTGCTCACCTCTCGCCCGTGCCGTGGCTTTCTCACCTTTCGATTACTTGATCCTTTCGCCACTATCGACAGAAACGGTCATCTCGAAGCCCGCCATCCTTCTGCGCGCAGACGACGTTCGCGGCATCCTCGACGCGGTTCCTGTCGCACCGCGATCACGAATACCATCGAATCGGGCGGGCCATCGGTGTAATCTTATCGGTGACGTCCACGGCGTAACACCGTTTTCACGGCGATCACAGCGACGGCGACGACGACCAAGACGTGCCCACCGCTTCCAATACATTCATGCGCTAGCTTCCCCCGCGGTTAGGATGGTCGCGTAGCCGTCCACGGCTACCAGCACTCGAAACGCCGCGCCGGCACGCTGCGTCGAACAACCTTCCTCCTTTTTTACGCCTTTTGCCGAGAACGAGGGTCGCCTATTGCCTATTCACGATCACCACGGACACCGAAGCACCCTCTTTGTTACGACGAACCAACCGATCCACCCCAATTTTCCCTGATGCATCCAACTTTGCTCTTTCCGTGGCTCGATGCACCGAATCTCGTACTTGTTCCAATGATCTCACCCTTTTTGCCTGGATACAGTTTGTCCTGCTATAGCAGTCCCTCCCAAATGACACTTTCAGTGTTTCCTTTTAGCGAGACACCAAGATTCAGCGATCTTCCCAGTGCAACGTGTGTACGCGTCAAAGCAGGATATTCGGTTCGCGTTCACGAACAACGACAGCTTCCTTTCATAACGATGCGCCTACGCGGCCTTGTACCGTTCCGATTCGCCCGTTACCACTGCACTGCCACCGTGTACCGATGCGTGTCATATCGATAACCAAACTTCTGTCAACTGACGCGAACCGATACAAAATGATGGTCGTGAAAACCGAACTGATAGAAACAATCGTGACAGACCGAAATGGAACGACGCACCGCCAAGTGTCGACGGTACAACTGTGGCTGCATGTGACAGCCGGTAGCTCGCACGGCTAATTTGCAACTAAGTTCACAGCGAACGCGTCAGCGGCCAAGGCAGCCAATCAAACACCAGCGCGCGTATTCTTGAAAAATCTCGAATAAATTTCGCGTAATCCTACCGGTTCAATATTCTACTTGATAAATATTCAGAAATCTAATTTTTTGTGAATGGCTTGAGTACAAATAATTTTGTCCTATTGTTAGGTGGGTTTAATAAGATGATATTGCGGGGAGAGGAAATACATTGATGCCCAATTTTGGTTCTGGTTTCAATTCCAAATTGAAAATTTGAAATTCCTACATTTGAAAGTTTGTAATTTTGTAAACGTAGCAAAATGTATGGAGGAAATCAACCAATCAAATTTGGATATCGACTATCAGGATCTGATCGTCTACTGCCTTATTTATAATTCAAGTTTACACTCTATCTTCATATTGCTAGATGATAGTTGATGATTATCAATTATGGGGAAGTAGTACGCATGCGCCATGCTTTATTTGAAATTGACTGTTAAATATTATTTGTATATTAGATTTGAATCCTTAAAGCAATTGTAATAAAAGACAATTATTGTCTTACGTCAATAAAGAAAATACGTAGAAATAAGGTAAGCATTTTTGCATTAATATTATCCTGCATATGATAAAAAAAATCCAAAGATTGAAGGTTGTGAAATTCATCATTTTATTGTAGTCTATCATTTAGGCTATCTTTGAATAAATATGTAAGCTCTCTTCGAATAAATATGATATTGCAATAAATGTGCGAATTATCGCTTTAAACTAATAAATCGGAAGTATCTTTATCGCATTACGCGGCTGTCCATACATCGGGTTTATGTTTGCGTAAGTTTTATGAAAATTTAAAAAATGACAAGATATCAAGTTTAGACATTTTAAGTTATTTTAATGAATTGAAAATAATGCAATTAAAAATGTATAATTTTATGCATATGAAAATCACTTCCTAAATAAATATAAAATTAATAACGAATTTAAATATTTTTACATGTATATCTACAATTAAAAAGTTTTCATGCTCTAAACTTTTTAAACAAAGGATGCTTATTTGCTTTTTTATACTCGGAATAAACTGCGTCGTCTGCACCGGACATGGATGTCATGTTTCCAGCTTTGCGTATAATCTGAAATAATATTAACATTGTTTAACGCAATCAGTGACATACTTTTAAAGAATAATAACGAGATAGTGCTTACCGGTCTTGGACCTTCACCAGGTATTCTTTCTTCGTCTGCATCCATGTCACTGGCAGACAGAACCTGCTGCAGTAAATGACCCTGTTCTTCCCTAGACGTGTACATTAAGTCTGGCTCCTATTTTAAGAATAAAATTATATAAAATTTAAGAAATTTAGAATTCATCAAATTAAGTATAAATGCGTACTTCATCCATTCCTGCTAACTTCGTTATAACTTTATAAGCGTATCCCTGATTCACGAGGAAACGTTGACGCTTTCTTGAATAATTCATTTCCATCGTGTCTTGCGATACTAATGTATAGAAGAATGCATTATACTCTTCCGCAATAGCGCCTACAAGAATTTGACTTTATAATATTTCGCACGTTTAATTACTTTCATCAAGTCTATAACAATAGATACCTTTCTTGGCTCTTAAAATACGACCCAATCGTTGTGCTTCTTGTCGTCGTGAGCCACCATGCGAAGATATTTGAATCAATACATTAGCTTCGGGTAAATCAAAAGAAGTATCTGCTACTTTACTCACGAATATTGTATTTACTTTGGTATTGAATTTAAAGTTTTGTAAAATTTGTATTCGTTCACTCTGAAATAAATTATATATAGAATATTTGTGTGTACTTCAAAGATTGCTGTGATTAAATTATTTATACTTACTTGACTAGTTGGACCATAAATATATGGTTTATTCATTTTAATAGCATAATGCTTCAAAGCAAACACATTGTCCGAGAAAACAATAGTCTTATCACCTCGCCTTTCATGGTATCGTATCAAATATTGACAACAACGAAATTTATTAGGATTCATCACATAAAGTAACTGTGGATAAGAATGTCTGATGATTTCTGATCATTGCTATCTAATTACATTAAAATTGATTCCCTTACCAGCTTTTTACTCATTTTACAGCCAAGATACTCTCTGTAAAACTCTGGTGTCATAGGACACCAAACTTCAGCACACTGTACTCTTGCAATGAAACCTCTTTTCTGCAATTCTAACCAGTTGGCCTCATACAATTTAGGTCCGATTAGAAAATTAAGATCTGCAATCTTGTCGTCTTCTCTCAACAATGTTGCAGTCAAACCCAATTTACAATGCGACTGAACAATAGTTAACACTCTTCTGAACATTTTTGCTGGAATTGTGTGGACCTCTAAAAACATGATGTGTTACTGCTTTTATAAAATAAATATATGTTACAAATATATTACCATCTAAAACCATAATTCCCCATTCCTGATCTTGAAGCCATCGCATGGTTTGCTCAGCTTCCCAAGAACGCTTTTGCGTGTGTGTAATCATGGAGTACGTAGTGATTAGAATTTCACAGCCCATGGGTTTGTCTTTAGCTTCGCTTGTAAAGCGACATATCATCGAATCGTCTGCGGTCGACCACATCTTAAATTGTTGTTTCCATTGCTCTACCGATACTCCAGAATTACACAATACCAATGCACGTTTTCGGACTGTACAACAAGCTGTTACTCCCACTAAACTTTTACCGGCACCTGAAAAGAAACGTAATGCTCATAAAACAATATTTCACTAAGAACAAAATTATTACTTACCACAAGGTAAAACTATAACACCCGATCTAGCGCGTCCATTACCAAACATTTTCCTCAAACTCTTTTCCTGGTAAGGCCTCAATACAGCTGATGGTTTTAAATCAATACTAAAATAGAACATATTTTTTATTCATTTCTTATTACTTAACTTTTGTATAATGTACTTACTTTATGTCAGGATTTACACTATCATTGCGAAAATCATACTCTGCTAATAATGGATGTTCTAGCTCTATACATCTCTTTTGTATCAACTCAATTTTTTCCTACAATTGACAAATATTTTTTGTTATTAAATGTATACATGTTTTGTAAGTGTGCATACGTACTTGATTTACTTCAAAGCTGACTGTTTTCAATTCTTGTTCTTCCTCTTCTTCCTCATCCTCTTTATCCATTTTATCATAGAAAGTAGTTATATCCTCAGGAACAGTTGTTGTTTCTGTCGGGGTTTGATCATTGGATGATTCAGTCACTTTGGTGGTTCCAATTGGTGCATTGGTTGTTGGTTTTGCTCCAAACTGCAGAGTTTTGGTTTTACTTTGAACATTTGTAATTATTTCATCCTTTTCGTTTTCAACATTTTTTTTCAATCTACACTCTTGAATTTTCGGATCCTTCAGTAATTTTTGTAGTACTTCAGGATATGGAGATTCAACAAAATATTTATTATGCTTTAACACTAGTTTTACCTATATCCAGAATTAAAATAATTTATTATATTTGATTTAAAGTATATAATGTATTTTTGATCAATTTACCTTGCCATATGATAATGTACATAGTTTAATAAACTTTATAATTCCATCAGGAATACTAGTTTTACTAAGTCTTTTCAGGTATTCTATTATATCATGTGTTTGAAGACCAACACTGACAGCAGCATACAATGAATAGGCAGTTAATTTGTACTATAAAATAAATACTTCATGAGAAATGTTCCTATCAACATAAATTCAATGTCTATAATAATGATTTTACCTCATGAATATGTTCAGGACGGCATACAGGTTCTGAGATAGCAATTAAGAAATCATGAGCATGTTTATACACTGGTGAAAAGGATTCTAAGAAAATGTGTCCATTTGGTGCCTAAAGAAATATTGTATAAAATGTTTACTTTTTAAAAAATAAAAGCAAAGCTAAAACTACATTGATATCTTACCACCCAAAGCGGTCTTGAAGCACAATCAGGTTTTAGAATCATTTGTGAACGATAATCTTTTGCTCCAAATTCATCTTCTAATGCTGTTTCGTCTTGTTTCTCAACATCATTTTTTGCTGCATCAGGAACACCAGCTTCATTATCATCTAAAGAATCATCGTCATTGAATTCTTCAAGATCTTCTTTACGTTTTTTCCATTTACCCCTATCTGCAATAGTAACTGACACTGTTCACTATGTTACAAGATAACCTCTTAACAAATTAACAACATTCAAAATGGCATAAAAAAAGATTCATAAGTAAAAATTGACAAGTTTTGTGAAAATAAGGAATTGTTCATACCATTATCTTTTTTAAAACGTTTAGGTGGACCCATTATTCAATGGAAACTTAGTGGTTAAATTGTAAATAAATTTATCTAAGATTTCTAATACTATTATTCCTAATATTAAGGTTAATTTTTTATGTTTCAATGTATTATTTATATCCTAAAATGAAGTGCAATCCTTTCTTTTATATTATGTTGCATACTGTTGCTATTGCATTCTAAACGTGATCACATACGAACTGGTACGAACACGATCATAACGATACAACATATATATCGTCATTCATTGTTACATCGTTCACAATTTTAGTGACAGAGGGAAAACAATAAAAATAATTTTTATTAATACTTTTTATTTTCTAACTTTAGAAAACTGTATATAGATATGAAATTAGCGATGGAAATATAACAGTGCGTGTAATATCACAGATGATATATAATAGATCATTCATGACATTGTTTTTGTCACACAGCGCATGAGACACCATTACCATTTTCGTATCGCATCCTACTATATCAGTTAATGGAATATTTGTAAACTTCTTTTTAAATAATATACAATAGGTACAAAATAATGTTTAATTTTATTCAAATCGAGGTATCAAGTTGTAAAAATATTGCTTCAATTTGTAACAGAAGAATGTGTTTATTTATAACAAAATGAATAAGAAAATATAATATTAGATTTTACAGATCTGCGTCGATATTTCGTTTATCCATCGTCTCTGTTCTTAAATGACATACTTTACTGTCAAGAAACTATATTGCCGTTAGTAACAAAATTCGTTTCATTGACTAGACCTAATGAAATTAGGCAAACTAATGCAGCTCCTTGTTCTGCCCATTTTTTATTTTTTTCCCTGAAAGAAAAATTGAGAGTAGTTGTGGTATATGTTCTCATCATCTTATGCTAAATAGTTCTATTAAACTACCAAAAAGATGATCCGAATTTCCTTCCGTCGACAGTAACAATAGAACGGAAAAGTTTTCCTTTTTGTAGCGTATCGTAGCGAGGAATTTTTTTTCTTTGACTTTGTGTCCACTTATGTAATATAGTTTTTGGCAAATCAAGATCTGTCAAATAATTATTTCTTAAAAATGCACAATGCATTAAAACTACGTCTTCTTCATTTATTAATTTTCTTTTATTAGACAGTTGTTCTTCATTCTGTTTGTCATCTTCCCTCATGGGTGAAACTTGCGACCTTCCTTGTAAACCTTTTTCATTAAACTCTTTTCTTTTCAAATGACAATAGTCACTTAAATTCCATACAGCACTAAAATAATATATTCATTATATTTGTGGTAGCATATAGTCACACTTAAGTAATACAATATGTACCATATTTGCTCTAAGGTTTGAGAATTTAGGAACTTTTTGCCTAGTTCAGATTCTTGTTGCTCGCGAAGAATGTTTTGTATGCAGTACTTGGTATTAGAAGGTGGATTATCGCAATCCACGGCATATTTTAAATACGACTTTATCACATCTTCCATGGGAAGTAAACCGTTTTTGCTAAATATTGAACAATTCCATTCAGCTGCACGTGCAAGCATTACACTACTGCAGCCTGTTACTTCTTTAAATCTGAAAATATCTATAATTATCCTTCAACTGCATAAGTAACAATATATAAAAGATTAATAATAGTTGATATAAAAAGACAACTGAGATATTACTTGAAAATGTCAGAATGCTTCTGTATTTCTTTTGAGCCTCCATTTGCTATAACTGGTATTGAAAGCTTCTTGGATATTTCCCTCAAAACTTCATTACGGTTTGCATGTTGTGGTCTCTCTTCAACAGTACGACCATGAACTGCTATTGCAGATATACCAGTTGATGCCAAAAGTTCACAAAGCTCCAAAGTGTCGTTTAAGTCTGGCAATACACGTATTTTACAAGTTACAGGAATGCTTAAATTATCTACCAATGTTTTTAGAATATTCGTTGCAGTTTCTGGTTCTTGTAAAAGAGCAGCTCCCATTTTTCCTACCAATGAAAATAGTTTTGGGCAGCCCATATTTAAATCAATTCCAGCAACATCTTGTTCAATCATCTTAGCAACCTTTAATGCTCTTGCCGCATCACAAGTACCAATTTGTAAAACTACATGATCTCTTTCTCTTGGACATGTTCTAAAAGTTACAGTGCCATCTGTTTTGTCTATATAATCGATCGTTCCTAGAACATCTGAAGATGACTTCATTAAATACAGTTTCTCATTGTTTACTATAGTACCATAACATTCTTACCATTCACACGGCGAAATGATCGTAATAATTTCCAGTCTATAAGTTCCTCTGTATATACAATATCAGCACCATAATCAAGTGCAAGTAGACGCATAGGAAGTGTGCCAATGCGTACCATAGGAGCTAATATGAGTTTATTCTCATAATTTAATTTCTTTCTTTCCAATGGTTTTATTACTTTTTCCTCCATCGTATTTTCAATATGTTATAATATTCACTGTGATTTTTAAAAACATAACTCTTAACAAAATCAAAGTGTTAAGATCAAAATGGTAATTAATAAATATACAACTGCAACGATTAACTTTTTACTTTTATCAGTGTATAATAAATAAAAAATACTTCTTTACATTTTTAAACATAACTAAAGGTTATTTGTAGTAAGTTTACATTTGCATAAATTATTTATTTACATGTACATTGCCGCAGATATAATTTTTATTTATGATATAAAGTACAAACACTAAATATTACATGTAATTTAATAAATAATGTTTATGGAGTGGTGCAGGGTACTCTGATTATCACACTAGTGATATGATGGGGGTGTTACTTTGAACTTATTTGCTCCAGATGGCAGTTTCATTCACAGGCATATAAGTTGTTAATCTAACAAAAATTCGAGTTTATGTTTCATGATTGCTGACCTCAGATGCTTTCAAATTTGAACGCTAAAATCAATCAACTGCCAGACAATACGTTAAGAGTAATATGGTACAATTTTCCCTTTATTTCAATGACGTAGCGATTAATAAATCGCTTAGAATATTTTATACGTAGGCGCCACTACTTCGAGCGATTTTTATTTGATATAATCAAGTAGTAGGTAAGCAAAGAATCGATAATGTTTACTCCATCAAAATTAACGGAGAAAGATTTTTTCGACGCGACTATATTAAATACGCCACAACCGCAAGCAACCTCGACTGTTCAAAGAAAAAGCACGTGAGTTCTCTACTTTTATTAATTTTTTATTCACCTTTGTTCATTTGATATTATGTGCTTTATTAAATGATAAAATATCTCTTCAGTGTAAAGTAAAATGTTTTCTTTTCAGATTAGAAAGTCATTATATTCATAAGGATGGTAATGAGGCTGTATATAAACAATTGATTACACAGAATAATGATAAATCACGAAAATCTGATGAATCTTCTCTTGGTATAATTAACAATATATCATCTTGTAAGTGCTTTGTTTTATTCCTATTCAGTGTACCCATATTATTTCATAACAACATTTGTAGTGTTAGCTGAAGTAAGTGCAATGGAGGATAAAGAAAAGCAAAATGAAAGTAAAATGGACGCAGAACGTGAAATTGCTAGAAGATTGCTGCAGAGATGTAGTGATTTAAAACCTGTGTCTAATATATATGGTAAGATCTTACTTAAACATGCTTTTATAATAACAAAACTTGATATATATTTCATGATCTTTGTAGATACAAACAAAGAAAACAATGCTAACATTCAAAACTTATCTCCTAATACTACATCTTCAACTCATGTTGACCAGGAACAATCCTCAAGTTTCAGTCAATCAAATTCTCGAGGTGAAAGTACCTTGCATGCATCTGCTAGTAAAACAAATAGCGTAAGTTTGACTTATTAAAAAAGTAATTTATCAGAATATTTTTATATATATTATGTATATCTTTAGGTTGTTTTTGAGCCAAATGAAATAAGTGCACGCTCATCTGGATTAAGTAGGAGTTCAGAAAAATGTAGATCCTCCACATCAAGCAAGAATGTAAATGCAATAACATTTGATACAACAACTGCTGAATTAATGGCTCAATTTAACAATGAAGAGTTCCATCCAGCTTCTGAAATGGCTAGTCGGTTATTGGCTGATGAAGTATCTTGGCAACAAAATTATTCTTATGCACTTCCTACAACAACTTCTGCTGAAAAAGAATATTTAAATTTGTCTTGCTTCTCTGGTATCATCGGTGAACTAGATTTATCAGTAGAGTAAGTTTCTAAAGTGATTCATTTTTATTTCACTGGAATAATATAATAAAAATTTCAGGTCTTGTGCTGGACACAAGGTATCTGTAGATGAATTTTTCAGAAGAAAATGTGGAAATTTTGGAGAATTATCGGATAATGCAATAGCACGACCAAGTTTGGGTTTATCTGTAACTAGTCCAAAAAAGAAAGGCCAGCTCATACCTTTAGTTGATTCTACCATGATGACGGAAGGTACTGTTATTTTATTTGAAACAAAGTTTTTAGTATGTATAAGCTTCTCTTTTACAGAATCTTCGGTTGCTTCATACGCTGTTAAAGATAATCCTCAACAAAATATACCAAATACAACAAAAGATATAGAAGAACAAAGTATTATGAGTTTAACTAGTATTGCCCAAGCATTACAGGACATCGATAACGGTACGCCAAGACGATTGGTAGACCAACTTATAATGGCAAAAAAGAAGAAGAAACCTGTACAAGTACAAGAAGAGATTCCACCAAGAGATACTTACACATTATTGCCTTCAAATCGAAAATCTATGCCTGCTACTCCAAGTAGAAATACTGAAAACTTTGAAAAAGATATAAAGTCGGCGAATTTTTCTGCAAAATTATCTTTGGATAGTAAAATTGCGACCGAAATGTTAGATGTTAAACATTCAAATGCCAGAACACTATCATTCAGCTCTAACTCAGGTGCAAAGACCAATTTTGACGCCGTGTGTCAAGAGCTTAAAAAGGAAATAAGCAGTGAAAGTTTACCGTCTTCGTACAGTAAAGGTATACCTCGACACTTAATAATTATAAACTTTTTTATATTTGAATTAATTTAAGATGAAATGGATTCTAGATTTTAATTCTCTTTTGGAAGATCCTAAACTATCTCTTCCACATTACACTATAGAAAAAAGATCATCACCACGTACTTCAAAAGTTAACATGTTACTGAATCAAGAGAAAAAAACCTTTGACTTTCAAAATGAAGAAGTAGGAAAGAAAGAAACTGTAAAAGAAGAAAATATTTCGTATAAAGAAAAATCAGAAAATTCTGTACAAGACATTTCAAATTTGTCTGAATCGCAGTCCCATTTAAATAGTATGATTCAGTAATATATATGATGTGAATTAATCTTAGATTTTAGTGTTATAATTATTCATTTTTGTAGATGTCGTCATCGGTAAAAACACAGAAGAACTATGCAATTGCATTGTAGGTATGATTAGAGAAACTGATATTGAACTTATAAATAAAAGTGATAGATGGATCATTTGTTCATTAAGTGTGAATCAAGTTCAAGGAGACAAGCACAATGTTCGGCTTACATTACCAAAGGATGTGATCCTTATAAAACCAAATTCGAAACAACATGCTAAGGTATAGATAAAATATAAATGTTACCGTTATGTAAAATGTTCCTTATATATATTGATTTCAGATTACAGTGACAATAGTGAAAATGAGCAAACCAATTATAGCTGTCTTAAATATAACAGTCTCAGATATGGTAACAAGGTACGAATGGATTATGAAACATATAATTTGTTTTAAACCCGAAGAATTTGATATAAGTATTTTAAATCCTCCCGAAAAGAAGGACCTAGATTTTCAGTGTGTCGTCGAAAACAGTATTACAATTTTACCAATTACAATAAAAAATAAGAACAACGTTGACGTCCCCATCAAGTTTTCCTTGTTACAGGTAATAATACTGTCCATATTATATTACACTAATTTTACTTGTTTTCTATATTCATAATTATTATAGGAAGAACCATCAGTATTCAGCTTAGAAACTCTTAACGAGTCGCAGTATGTAATGCTTAAACCACAAGAAGTATTCACTACAAATATTAAGTGCAAAGGTATCTTAAAACAGAATACGGAGGCGAAGCAACAGTCCTTGCAACGACATTGTGGAAATCTAATAATTCAAGCTGGAAACAATTCAGAAAGTATTGTAACAATTGGCACGGTTCCACTTGTTGTGCAAGTAGGAACTTGCAAGATACAAGTAATCGATACAGAATTGCCTTTGGTTGTTCCTTGCAAACAAAGCAAACCACTGACTGTGATCAATCTTGGTACCACACCAGTATTAATATCCGCCTCGTTTGTGCAAGATAATGACTCAGTGAAAAGCTTGAAATACTTTTCATTGCAACCTGAAAATTTACTCGTTCAACCCAATGAGACTGGATGTTTTTTTATTACTTACAAACAACAGAACTCGGACAATTCAAAAATGTAAATTGATACTCTGGATATTAATATAGCATCAAAAATTCATTCATAGTAATTGTATAATATTTTTATAGATACGCAAAGATTAAATTAACCGCTGCCAATAATGTTTATCACTATTCTATAATCGGCGAGTCAAATCCGTCTACTGAAGCAGAAACCGATCATCTTCGTTGTGAAACGCCACAGTATTCATCATCCGCAAGTTCTCCATCGTCTCCACACAGTATAACTTCGAACAAGTAAGTTGAATATTTTTAAATGTATGTTTTATAAAAGATTATTTATTAATGTTTCTTGTAATATTAGATCTGGAAACTGCGGTCGAAATTCTCCTATCAGTACAGTGTCAGGTTCAACTGTTGCTGGGGACAAAATTCCTATAAGAACCACTCACGCTGCTCTGGTATGGAGTAGTATAAAAACAGGAAAATCAGATATCAAGGAATTCACCATTCGTAATACAAGCAACAACAAAATTAGGATTCAAGCTGTTATATCAGACAGCGAGAAAAATTTCCGGGTAATATATACATATGTAAAGTATTACAGAATAGAATAATTAGAGGTCTTTAATTTCAGTTTCTTCGAGAACGACAGGCTGTAGGCACCATCGTATTAATTTTACAAGGTTTAGAAAGTAGAACACTATCTGTTGTATTTGGTCCCCACCATTTAGGCGCAGCAACTGGGAAAATAATATTTAGGCACTACGAACCTAGGAAAGAGGATGAATCCCGTCCCTCAAAAGTGGTACATAAATTTATTTAGTTACTTTTACCATATCAGCGTAGATTCTTTACAAAAAATTATTTACAGTTATTTCTCTATGGCTACGGTGGTTACAGTAAAGTCGAGATTTCTGAAGCATTTAAAGATACAAGTGGAAAAATGTGGTTGTCCCTAGGTACTTTAAATTCAGGAGGGTCTTTAAAGGCAAAAATAAAATTGCAAAATACTGGAGATTTGTGTTCATATGCAAAAATAAAATTAACACCAAAAGGTTTATATTTTTTTTACAAATAAAAATATTAAGTAAAATTCTTTTCTAATTTATGTTTATATAATTTCAGCTGTGTATCCAACTATGGTTTCAAGTTGGCAAGTAAATCCAAGCGAATTACTACTCAGTCCAAAGGAAACTCAGTGGGTGACTTTAGAATTTTACCCGCGGAAAGAAGATATAGCGTTACTGCAGCGATCCGATGTGTCTCATGTAGGCACAATATTAATTACGCACGGGGACGAACCTACGCGTTGGCGAATTCGTAGGTAAGTAATTTTCAAATAAAATAATAGGTAGGAAACATTAATTTGAGTGAAATATTTAGATTATACAACAAGATGAAAGAAACTGGTGAATTAAGTGGAACTGGGAACGAAGCATTTAGAAACATAATTCATCCGATATGTATAGCCTTTCGCGGAGAACAATTAATCTCTGATGTAAGCGCCATTCGAGATTCAGTGGTAAGCAGCCGAATATTTTTATATCAGTGAGTGCTGCAACACATAGCGGTATAGGGTACCATTCATTTAATTCCTATATATGTTACACAGCAAAATCTTGGAGACCTCTGCCGAGGAATTCGTCAACATGAGATACTATTAACAATGGAAGCATACGCCGATGAAACTCTATCAATTCTTCATGACAACGCCGATGAATCACAAATGTTTTATTCTCTCTGTAGTGATAATAGTCATATATACGAAGGAAGCGGAGAAAGTTTTCTCCCCTCTGAGTAGGTGTCAATAATGGAATTATTAAAATAAATTTTAATGAATATTTATATCGAGTATAAACAATTTTCAGAACGTTTATAGGGAACAGCACACTTCAAAGTGATATGAATACTGATTTTATGGTGCATCCTTCAGTTATAATTTTAACTCCACCATCAAAAACAGAAGCAACTGTGACAGTAAAAAGTTCTTGTATCGTAGCGCAACCATTCGAAACTTGTTTATCAAATACGGAGTACTTAAGTGTTGTCCCTGCTGAAGGAATGATACCCACAAGAAGAGATTTTCAGTTAAAGATACAATGTAAACGAAAAATCGAACGCAACTTTGATGCAACTCTTGAAATTTATACAGAGAATAACAAATTTGATGTACAGATAAAGGTTAATGTTAAACGATTGTAAATTAATGTTAATTTGTTAACAAATATTTATTATATAAAATATTCTGTAGTTTTGCATTTTTATATGGGCAATATTTTATTACTAATAAATTAGTTTTCAATAAACAAGTTTGTTTTTATTTCAGTAAAATATTATTCCTATTTATTTACAAAATTTGGCTTTGGTTTTACTTATACACTATGTCGTGTTTTGCTTGAAGAGCTTGAATTATCCTAACCATATTTTCTACATCATTTATTCCAGAATGCAGTCTTCCATGTAAAGGAAGTTTAAGAAATGCAAGCATATCTTTCAAAGACCGTGGATAATATTGAGTTACGTCGCAGAAAATATTTTTTAAGTTTATCCACTTTTGAAAATGATCAGGTACAGGTATATTATCTAGTTTACATTGTTGTGGTAGCATGGATTTCATATCCCAATCACCGCAAGTTACATATACACAATTGTTTCCCTCTGTAAAATAATTGTGCTCTTCTATCCACTTACAAAACTTGTCAAATACTTCTGGAAAATGAGGCTGATTATCTACCATGTCCTGTATGATACCAGTAAGTTCTGTGCAAAATGGAGTAAGTTCTGGATTAATTTTTGGTTTAACGTATTCATGGAAAACATTCTCTATATTCCAGGTCCTCGTTGACACTGCTGCACAAGGAAATTCAATAATTTCTTGAGGTTGCATTTTTACGTACCGTTCACATGTGCTTTCAAAGTCTACTACAAGCAAATAATTAAAATGTTGTTTAGCTTTTTCAGTGCTTCTATAAATGGATCGAGGGTACTTTTTAAGGAGTCTATGCGCCATGTCCACTCGAGTAAAGCAATAGAAAATCTTCCAGAGTGTGGATAGATTTGAAATTACTTTCAAGAGGTTAAGAAAAGATATCTTCTCAATTGTATAGCGAGCACAACATATTTAGTATTCCAATTTATAGTGTTTTTACAAAATTAGATTATAAATTTATACATTTTATATTTCTTTCAATATAAGAGCACTGATGTATAATACTTTACAAATACGATCAACAACACAGCGGAAATGAACAACTGTCAACAAGCAGCATATGTGTATTATGCAGCTAACTTCAATAGATGTCTCATCATCCAGTGCTACCTTACCATTGTACTCTTTCCACTATATTGAGAATTTATTTATTTTCCATATATTCCAATTTCTTGTTAGAAGTTGATAACTTGACCAAGTTTTTTCAATCGGTTAAATATCGTGTCGCCTCTTTTTATTATGTTTTGATACATCAGTCCTCGATCGCACGAAGCATTAGGTGCTTGTCCTTTACTGCAGCCAACAGCACTAATTGTAACAATAGTTCCAGCTACTTTATCAATCTTACAATGCAATTTACCGCTAACAATGAAACCTGCTATTTCTTGTTCTACGTATTCCTCCGTCACACCAAATTCTGCCGCTATTGTGCTCAAGTTAATAGTCCGATATGCTTGCAGCAACTGAGAGTATGCCCTCAAACGCATCTCTCTCATGAAATAACGACAGTGGGGATGAAATAAAGGATTGGCTCTAAGTTCAGACTCTATCCAGGCAAGACTTCGAAAGAATTCCCCGTAATGACAATCATACAGGAAATAAAAAAATTCTCTGTATCTAGGAGATTCCGTAAGTAACGCCTGTTGCAAGAGTCCATTGTTATTGAAATGAGATTCGAAATCTGATCGCGAGAAAGAAATAATTCCGGATAAAATAGTGTATTCAACGACATCTTTGAATGGTAATAATTCATAGGATTCAAAGGTGGGAATGCAGTCCAGCAAGAGCGACGCAGTCCGTGAAAAGTTCCGTGTTGCGAGACAGTAGACAGCTTCGTACACTTTTAGTTTGTTACGACTACACCAGTCGCTGCCACACGTATAGGATCCTTCCATGAAATGTGTTAGTTGCGCGATCATTTTTCCCATCTGACCAACGTCGTTCTTTATGTACGCTATTCTGAACAAACCAAACGCAGCTTCGACTCTGGCACTGAACGAATTACTTTCGTCTTTCAGAATTTGATTAGCAGTGTCCGCAGCACGTTCAAGATCACCGATTTGACAGAAAAACTCTAACTCTTTCCTCCAACTTTGTTTTTCAGAATCCTCAACACCTGAACTATCGGGTAACCGCAGTTCTTGCCAAGTCACCTCATTTGCTTTCTTCATCGTGTCGAGCAATTCATCATCAATTTTCCAATCAAATTCTTTGCACGCGTTCTCGTAATATTTCGTCATATTTCCTTGCGTTACCATGTCCAGAAATTTGGTTTTTAAATCTTCTTCATTTCGATGTTCCTTTAGAGTCATCTTAAACCAAATTTTAGCAAGGAACATGTATTCCGGGGTTTTATGACATAATTCTGAATTACTCATTATGATGATTCAAACATTTCCTTCGATATTCTGACATAGATAAATACTGACAGTTTTCATTTGTAAAATGCAAGTCTTTTGTTTAAATTGGGTAACTGCAAAATCAAGCGAGAGACTATATTTGTTGTATGATAAATTTTCACTCGTTTTGAAAGTTTGAAAGTTATCACTTATCTTCGTAATTCATATATTTTGATTCGCTGTATATATAATCGAGGGGATGGAAAATGTATGGTATTATAGGGTAGAATTGGCGGGGAATCGATTACCAGTCAGTTTACCCGATTGTACCATTTTGCCGCGCTTTTGATGCCATTTGTAATACCTCGTAAATAGGCGCCAAACTGTGATTTCTAACCCCACGTGTTGCTTTCAAATATTAAATTATGTCAGCAAAACCTATGATATCTACAAATTTACCATGGTATACAAAAACATTTTTCTCATATGCATACTGAACGCGGTATTAAATATGATATTTATTTATAGGGTTGAAAAATATCGGCCGAAAAAATTGGATGATTTAATATCCCACGAAGATATCATCAAAACTAGTCGGTAACTCTGTTTATTTAACAATCTCATAAAATATATCTGTTTGTTAAATGTTAAAATGTTTGTTGCAGTAAATAAATTTATCAATGAAGATCAACTTCCTCATCTTCTCTTTTATGGACCTCCTGGTACTGGAAAAACTAGTACCATTCTTGCTTGTGCACGTAAATTGTACACAGCAGGACAGTTTAATTCAATGGTTTGTTTTTTATTTATATACTGTTTTTATTTTGCAAAAGTTATGTGTAAAAATATTTGTGTATGTAGGTATTAGAAATGAATGCTTCAGATGACAGAGGTATCGGCATAGTAAGAGGACAGATTCTTAATTTTGCAAGTACAGGTACATTGTACAAGTCTGGTTTTAAGTTGATTATCCTTGATGAAGCAGATGCCATGACTAATGATGCACAGAATGCTCTTAGGAGAAGTAAGTTTTTTTAAGAATTTCTTTCAGATACGAATATATCTTATTTAGAAATTGTATTTCAGTAATTGAAAAGTACACAGACAATGTTCGCTTTTGCATCATATGTAATTATCTCAGTAAAATTATCCCTGCTCTCCAATCACGGTGTACAAAGTTTAGGTTTGGACCACTTTCTTCAGATCAAATTTTACCAAGACTAGAAACAATTATTAAAGAAGAGAAGTAAGTACGTATTATTTATTGTGTGCATAGGTAACAACAATCTGTATATGCATGTTGTAGTTTAAATGTGTCTGAAGATGGAAAAGAAGCATTAATAGCACTAAGTGGAGGAGATATGAGGAAAGTTTTAAATGTTCTTCAAAGCACATGGCTTGCTTTTGGTACGGTCACAGAAGAAACTGTTTATACTTGTGTTGGACATCCTCTTCCAATAGATATAAAGAACATTGTAAACTGGTTATTGAATGAATCGTATGAATTATGTTATTGCAGTATCCTTTTTGTTTCATATGTATCAGAAATTATTTTGGAAGTTGTAGAAGTTTCTTTAACTTATGTTCATACAGAAATTCAAGACATAAAACTGAAGAAAGGACTGGCATTGCAAGATATATTAACACAACTTCATTTATTTGTAAATAAAAGTATGTTTTATATTTATTATAATATTAGAGAAGGTACAAAATGTGTAATCATTCCCTTTTAGTTGAGTTTCCAGATTCAATACTTATCGAACTGATAATTAAGCTGGCAGAAATAGAAAAAAGGGTAGCTATTGGTTGCAGTGAACCAGTACAATTAAATGCTCTCGTTTCAGCGTTCCAAAATGCTCGTAACATCGAAACTTCTTAGGATATTAGTTGAAGGTAATTTAAAATTTAAAAGTATTATATTTTGCTACGAATAACAAATTAATAAATAAATAATGGATACAACTATATTTGTATATGCCCTTTCACGTTCCATTGCATTTTTTTTTCTTTCAATATTTATAATAAATTGCGTTTTGTCGTGAGCCGTATCAACGTAACAAATCTCAACGAATAAGTTGTTAAAGTCTAAGTCGCAAACCAGTCGAGTCACCATGAATACAGGGGGGTCGTAAATTTTTATCTAGCCTTGTTCGTCTAATCTCGATACCGTTACGTGCGCGGAACAGTTATAGAAAATTCATCTACGAAATGATAAGTTTCTTTATGATAGACGTTGAATGTGCTCGAGTGTATTCAACACAATTACAGTGCGTCTGTGCTCGATCGTACAAGTGGAACAACGTCTGACAGTGGTCTGACAAATACCTCCCAATCAGCACGCGATCGTTCAAGCATCACGTCGACGAAAACATATCCAGATTCCAAACATGCAATGCTGCTATTTTCTGTGGCAGTGATGCTCACTGATTTTTATCGGTCACTATAGTAATTATTTAAATATAAATCATTCTAAACATAACCATTGTGATTATTATTTTGTTAAATACTTTTGTTTGATGAGATTTCATTTACTTTTAGCCTCAAATAGGAAGAGTAAGAAATGTATGGAAATTCAGAAGAGAATTAACACGGTAATAAATTAGGAAATTTGAGAGCTTGGGTTCTTAGGCGAGAGAGACCATATTTGGGAGTCTTAGGGCCACTGGTGATGGATCTATGAATATGAGGATAATCAAATGAGTACCACTGAATTGCAAGGCAGAAGACGTAGGTGGTTCTTACGTTTCACCTCACGTGCAGTAAATTTTCTTCAGAGTAACAATTGAAATTATATTTCAGTTTATCCCTGAAACTGTAACCCCTGTCTGATTGTTCCGACATCCAAGCTTACGGGAAGTAAAACAGTTTCCAGTACATACTATCGTCGTCATTAATGTCGCAGTAATGAAATGTTTCATCGCGTTTTAATTGTCCTCCCCGCTGGAAATATTTTACAACTTTTGTCGAAGCGTGCCACTCCTCTCGTTCAATTTCTCTGCGCTGTAATTTGAACGAGAACTTTCTCTGACTGTAGCCGATTATATAATTCGCGTAACAAGAATGTAATGAAATTAGACGAGCGATGTTAAATTTTTGATTTGGTAAAATAAAAATAATAGTAATTTACGTTAGTAGATTTACCGGCGTACTTTAATGCGTATTAATGTTACAGTTGCAAATGGAAAGGCTAAAACTGCTTACATACGTGTCTTTGAAGCAGTCGCTGTCGTACAACCTATGTCCAATCCCTGCAAGTGGAATAACCTGACACTAGTCCGGCATACCATTAACTCCCTCCGCATTTTTCTCATTCTATCATCGCTCTCTCTCACGACCAGGTAGACCCTTCAAATTCATTATATCTAAACTTCATTTCCGTCCATCTTTCTTAATTATTTTCTTCTTTGCCAGCAGAATTTTTTCATTTACTTCCATTCATGTGCGCATAAGGAGAGAGAAATTTCTGTATTATGCTAATACTTATAGAATATTCTTGTGACTAATGTACAAGGTAAAATATGTCACATTGGCGTAATTAGTTATCTAAGATGGGTCCACAGCCACAATTATGTATAACGAAATGTATAAAATATGAGGATTTTGAAATACCTACAAAAGGAAGATATGACGAAATTCTTGCACCCGCCACTAGATGGAGCACGTGAAATCAAATTTCTCGCTAGTGCTCGCCTTTACGTCTATTTTAACATGCAGGCTTTTTAGATCACAATTGCCTTCATATTTAATGCATTAGGTAGTTTTATCAATATACCTTTTCTCTTTTAAAATAGTAATGTTGAAAGCAAATTAAATTATTAATGTTAAGGTAGCAGATTACAATTATAATCTAAAGTAATTCCATGTACTATTTAGGTGTCAATGGACAGTCAATGGAGTTTCTGATTAGATGATAATTTCAAGCTGAATTGATTCTATTGATCCTGAATTGTTACATTCGTGTAGAAATAAAATGCAATTAACGTTGACACGTACGAATCTCTCTTCTTCGGGTACTCAGGTGGGATTTCCTGATCAAACACATGCATACAGAAAAAAAAGGAAAAAATTTGAATCTCTGGTAATTTGTATTTCACAGGTTCGCAGTTTTTCTCGTGCATTCAACTATTTTAGCAGGATGGGTGCACTCGAACGAGCATGGATTTATTGTGCGCCAGGAAAAACAAGCAGACTATAAAGTGTAACGCGTCGACAGTGGTATATCGGCGATTTTCGAAAATCCGTAACCCGTTTCCTGTTATATCCATTGACATAACCAGATAGGGATCAGATGACCTACTTCTAAAGGACACTCAAATTCCTAAACAATATTTTAGTACTTTTGATTTTACTGGTAAAGGTGCAGACAAAAATTTTCCGTCTGTATCATCTTATATTTTGAAAGATCGACTTGTTTTACACGGAGTGCCGTTCCAGGCCTCTGAATTGATAATTAAATAATACTTCGTGCTCGACATCAAACGAAACTTTCGGCTTAATAAGAACTTCCTTGGGTGTAGCGCTAGCACGTCGATTCTCTGAGTTATTTCAGCTTGAAAACTTGGCGCAGACATGCCCTTAACTTTCCGCTTCGAAATAACTAATTCAATTAGTATATCGGCACTGCTAGACTCAGGGTTAACTACATCTTTGCCAGTGTATCTAATCTTCGTGCTAACGTTAATTCTGCCATTGCTAATCTACTCTTGAGCCCAGCGCCAAGGGAACCACCTTGTTTATAACAAGCAAACGCTTTACATGAGTTTTTTCTGTCGTTTGTTTCAGAAGGCGCGTGGAACGAGAATTCATGGTCTCTCATGAGAAATCGGAGGAGCTGTGTATACGTGTTAAATGATGTATCGCCGAGGCTGGAACCAAGTACTCGGAGTCAGTCAAAAATCTCCCTCACAAAACCGATGATATTTCTCCTCGTTCCTGCGTAACGTGCAATAAACGTTTGAATAGATGAATACGAATGTTCATCGCGGTGCAAACTTTTGATGGAGTATTTGTCTGAGCATCGATCTACAACGCCGAGTAAATCCTTTCCATCCCTCTGTAAATGCTGTAACTAGAATTTTTATTGCGCAATCAACCCTGTTCGCTTCTACTAATAGTTGTAACACCAAATGGTTTTTAGAATGGTCCGGAAAAAATCTGCTGAGGACACTCTATGAAAAACCAGAGGCTGAATGCAGACATTTATAACTGAGAACCAAGACATTTATTTATTAAATTAAAAAGTGAACGCATATTCTAAGAATATAGAAGTTTACTCCATTTTTCAGCAACGGAATTACGAGCTCACGCATGAAAGGGTTTTTAAAATCATTCATGACACTCGAGGAAAGTTGCGCAACGGCAGAAGCATGATTGTAATGCTCATTAAAATTCAGGGTTGTGCTGAAAATAGTATCAAGATCGCGAGTCAGAGAAACCGTGGCAAGGACAGGATTCTCCAAGAGATGCGTGACAAGTTTCTTTCGGAAGCTTTACGTAGGCTTAGCCCTTTAACTATTAAAGGTGTACGAGCAAACTGCATCCATGTTTCGAAATACGCCAGAGAGAGTCCCGAAAATTTGACGCTTTAATTTGAAACATTCACGCACATTTTGTTCCGATCGATCGCGCCAGTTAGAAAGAGATCTCCCGCGTCTTTTGCGAACTTGATGCGTACTAAGGAATTCCGTAGTTTCAAGGAACTTCGATCTTCGGCTAATTATCAGGCAGCCCATTGTATCCTCTGCTTTGTATGTCAACGAGCCCTTCATTCTCGGGGTTCGATTGATTGGAAAACTGCTGGCTTCGTCCTTTCAAGCTCCTTTTTTTTCCTCACTCGTGTTCGCAACTTCGAGAAGCTTCTTACAGAAAAGGAAAGAATAGACTTGAGAAATACCATACTTTAATCACAAAAGGCTAACAAATCTTGGGATGTATTTATAATTCAAGAGAGCAAGTATCGTTACAACCTACAATCTTATTCCAATAAAGTGCAAAAAGTGTTAATGAAGCTATAATAACTTCCTGATGCCAAGCTTTTTTAGAACCAATAAAACAAGGATCAGATGTTCATTCAAGAAAGGCAGGTATCAGAGTTCCATCTAGGTTCGTGGAGTGCGCACTGCACGCTGAAATAGGTGTACCATGGTGCGGCTCGATGCTGATCGCGGAGCTTGACCTGGAGAGGGGAGCACGACGAAGTGGTGGAATCAGTGTTTGGAGGGGGTTGGCGTTGTCGTTAGTGCCGTAAGTCGCCGTTCAAGAGCCTAGGACCAATTTAAATGACTATCAGGTCTAACCGTACGGCTACCCTTCTTACGATTATCTGATGATTCACGTGATTCCTTATAGCAGAACAACTAATTCTTGATTTTATAGACTATTAGCACTGACGTGCAATTAGAGTTGCTTCGACGCGTACAGACATTTGGCTACGCCAGGCGGATACTTTTAATGGAGGCCCCTAAAAACACTGTCGCGTTTCAAGTGGCAGGCGCTCTGTCCCGAGAAATTTACTATCATTATGTGCTCTTCGAGCGGAGTTGTTTCGCATTGTCGCGAAATGATACACGTGTTTAGCTGTATGCGACTCATGTGGTCAATTGTAAGGAATGTAAGCTCTTAGGCTATCATTAGGCTTCAGTATTTGTTTTATTCTTATCTTATTTTACAGTAGGTTATAATTCTTTATTTTGTTTAAGATGCTTCAGGTTCTCCAGCTTTATTAAAATTGTCTAAACAACATTGAGGTTAAATAACATTGAGGCTAAACAACATTGAGAATATGGAAGTTCTAACAGATTGCAGGTTACAATTCTTTATTTTGTTTGGGATGCATCAGGTTCCCCAGCTTTACTAATACTGTCTAAACAATATTGAGGCTAAACAACATTGGGGATGTGGAAGTTCTAACAGATTGCAGGTTACAATTCTTTATTTTGTTTGGGATGCATCAGGTCCTCCAGCTTTACTAATACTGTCCAAACAATATTGAGGCTAAACAACATTGAGGATGTGGAAGTTTTAACAGATTGCAGATTACAATTTTTTATTTTGTTTGGGATGCATCAGGTCCTCCAGCTTTACTAATACTGTCTAAACAACATTGAGATTAAACAACATTGAGGATGTGGAAGTTCTAATAGATTGCAGGTTACAATTCCTTATTTTGTTTGGGATGCATCAGGTCCTCCAGCTTTACTAATACTGTCTAAACAATATTGAGGCTAAACAGCATTGAGGATGTGGAAGTTCTAATATGAAATATGAGGTTATGTCTTTGATGCAGAACCTCATACTTTGAGTAGTCAATATGACCGTGGTCTCTACGGTTCTCCGTTCGATCTCATCGGGTCTTTGTCCACGATCCGTTTTTGGCCTGTAACATACGTAGCGAGGCTTTTTAGCCTTCATAAAGGAGTCTCGGGTGGCGTTCTCGCGTCTATTTCTAGAACGGCTTATTTATACGAGTAGCGTTTTGTTACAGCGCAGCAGCAATCACTTACCGCCGAGCAAAGGTAGGACCAGCTTTGCGGCTTGTTGTCTAACTAATTCAAGAGAAGCGAACAGCCGCGGGTCGTAATCGATAATTCCCGCTCGAATCGTTTAACGACGCTTTATCAACGTCGTTTTGAGATCGGTAATTGTTATCCTGTCTCGCTCTCTCTGCGTCGACCAGAGCCGGACGATTATTCTTCTTAATTAATTAGCGACGCTGGAAGAAAGCCGCGTCCCTCCAACCCTTGTGACGGAAATTTATGCGAGACAAAGTAATACGTGCTCGTGGCACGGATATCGGTATTCGGTCTCTTTTAATTATCTCTTCGCGCCTCTTCGGAGACGTCTAAAATTCCTGGCTGGAAACGGTCCATTTACGCGTGTATTTGATTGCAGGCCATTTGAAGAGCAGCATTCAAGGTAGCGAGAAACACAAGAAGGGGACAAGAGGCAGGGAAAGTAGGACGAGCATCTTCGAGTCTGTTTCCCTTCCGAGAACGTAATAGTCGATTTTCGTACTCGAAATAAAATGTTGCTAATAATTCAGCTGCACGACGAAACCGTTGCTTCCGTTAATCGTCCACTTTTCCCTGTTCCTCCTTTCTCAATAGTCTACCGGGGTAAGTAGAAATCTAGCGACTTTAACGTTATCATAACTTGAAATACAAAGTATTCTTCATAAAAATCATTCGTGCATCGAGGAATGCGACTCATGAATCACGTAATTTGCAGCTACATCCCGTGGTTCCGAGGTTGCTCGTGACGACACTGATCGAGGGGTTGAAGCTGGAGGGGATAGAGCAGCTGGGGTGGCTGGAGCTCGAATGCGAGCTCGTGGTACCTACACGCTGGGTCTGGGTTTGGCCGGGTCGCGGTGGCTCCTGCGCAGCGGTCCAAAGAGACGGAGAAGCGGAGACAGAGAGGCGGAAGTTGCGACGAGGCGAGGCGAGAAGAGCAGGCGAGGAAAAGCGAGGTAGCTGGCGAGCGAGCGAGCAAGCAAGCAAGCAAGCAGGTAGGCAGGCAAAGCCTTTAGGCAGGCAAGCAAGAGCAAGCACGACCACCGGGCTTGCGAGCCACCCCCCAGTCGCCACCCGCCACCCAAATCGTTTCCCCTACCCTATCCCCTTTCGTACACCCCTCTTCTCCGTGGTTCTTCGCACTCCTACTCGTTCTCCGGTGCTTTCAGCCGCCTTGTTCGTTCCTCTGGCTGGTTCATCTCGTCCAGTGCTCGCGACTACGAACGGAGTGTGGCTCGTCAGTTCCAGGATTCACACGCTACCAGTTTCCGTCACGCATCCTCTCGCCGCACCGAGGGACCTGTCTCGTGTAGTCGCGTTCTCGCCTCCCTCTGTGTTCTCTTCGTTGGCAAGCCAGAGACGGGGCCGGGGTGATCGTACGAACCAGCAGACGACAGAGAGGGGGCTCGTTCGTAACGCGGCACCCCGGGCTCCTCGGTTCCGTTGGCCAATCCGCGCCGTTCACGGGCAAAACAGATCCGCGTCTACGTGTACCGGGAATAGAACTTGGTGCCAAGTGACCGTAGCTTCCAGTGCGAGAGGCAAGATGACGATCGAGAGGGACTATCAACTGGACAAGAAGACCTGCCCTTCGTGATTTCACCGTGATACCAAGCGTGCACGTTGCGTCGGACGTCCACACGCGCGTCTACATCGGTTGCCAAGCCGGCTCGCAGCGGACCTTCGTACCTAGGCCGGTCGTTCAACGTGGCCGATCCTTGGACATGTAAGTACCCCTTCTAACTACCAAGCGATCCACCGAACTGTTTAGTCAAGTGTCTACACCTGCAGGACAAAGTCACAGTCGCGTTCCTTGCCTCCGACTCTTCTTGTTTTCTCGGTTCGATCGACTGGTCGTCCCAGGGGATCGGTTAAACGGAAAGCCAGGCGAAAATCGGTGAAAAGAGGTGGCGAGGGGTGTTGGAGCGATCGATCTGTTTGGCGGAAAGCGTGTGATACTGACAGAACTCGAACACGCGAGTAAACACTCGAAGCAACGTTCTCGTAGGAAAGCAACGTCGAATTGGAGATGGAATTTCGACGTAATCGCTCGATTTTGCTTCGACGAATGTGCGCGTGTGGGTGGGCGAGAAAAAGGGAGACTGTAACAACCAGTTGGTTCAAAGTACAGCGAAGATTGCGCAACTGCGAAGGATAAGGCCAAAGAAAGAAAAGATATTGGGCAAGATCCTACCGATAGAACTGTTGTATGTCCGCCATCGCGATTATCTTTCGTCACCGGTTTTTCGAACGCTTTGATGAGTGCTTTCTTTGACTCGCTTCCATTAGACGCGCGGACTGAAACCGTGCGAGCAGGGGAGAGACGGGAATCCTTTGGGTGTTGAACCGCGTCAACTTGTGCACGCGTTAAATGTGTATTTTGCGACGGTGAAATGATATTTCAAATTGAAATTCTACCTCTGGAATCATTAACTCACGTTATTTTTAAACGTTTAATTAACGCTGACGTGGAATGCAATTATCGTAGGATATATCATTTTTGGAATTTAATATTACACGATCAATTTTGAGTTGTCTGTTTCAACACTGATTTCTCTAAAGTGAGATCAGAATTGCGCTTTTATCCAGTTCTTTCGTTTTTGTTAATATCGTTTATTTTCTGATTTTTAGATGAATCTGAGTTCTTAACTTCTTCGATTCTTGTCGCTGCTTCGAGGTAACATTTTCCTGGAGATTAGTTTTCGTAACAAATGAACCCCATTGAGACACGTGTGTTTGTGGATCCGAGTAGAATGCAAACTGGACATGGATTTAAGGATACGAGGACACGTTCACGGTGACCGTAAAATTTGCAAGAGGGCCATTTTGCGCGACGTTTTATCTGGTCGACGCAGGAAACAGAGGCGCTGCTTTGTTACGGTTATCTGAAAATGGATTAGCCTAGCAAGGTACACGCGTGCGAGATTTTACGGGGCACATTTAACGCGTTCGCTGCTATGAGGGTCACTGGTGACCAGCATCGCAAATTTTATCCTACGGTTGCTAGAAAGTTTAACTTTATGACCATTTATAAAACGATGCTATAAGCGTATATATTTTAACGCGGATTTGCAAGGAAAGGCGGAACACGTGTGTACCTTTACATTCTCTAAAATATTCTTTCTTACATTGTCTCTCTATGTAATCTCTTTGTTACATTGTCTCCATCTACATTGTCTTTCTCAAGTCGGTGCATCTCAAGTTTATTTTAATACTGCACATGTATACATATTAATTTTAATACTGTACATGTATACATACTAATTTTGATACTGTACATGTATATATTAATTTTAATACTGTACATGTGTATATTAATTTTAATACTGTACATGTATATATTAATTCTAATACTGTACATGTATACATATTAATTTTAATACTGTACATGTGTATATTAATTTTAATATTGTACATGTATATATTAATTCTAATACTGTACATGTATACATATTAATTTTAATACTGTACATGTATATATAATTTTAATACTGTACAAGTATATATTAATTTTAATACTGTACATGTATACATATTAATTTTAATACTACACATGTATATATTAATTTTAATACTGTACATATTAATACTGTGATGACAAAGATTCAAATCATTCTCATTTTGTTAATAGGCCATGGGCGTGACAAATTCTTTCATCAGTCTTCAAACTTTATACCCATCATTATCGACACAATTCATCTTCGCCAGCAGTGACAGTTTGCTAATATTTCCCAGCAAGATGTAGCGAATAGAAGGATTAAGAGAGTTTGGACAAAATATCTACAGATAGAAGAATCGCTGTTTTTTAGTCGCTTCGATTCATTGGTACAGGATCTACAAGGCTCGTAAACAGGGTCAAGATAGTATTTCATTCCCGCTTTCTATGGCTACTGTCGTTTTTAGCTACGTTTCCGATAACAATCCTACCGTGCCGCTCCGGCAGGGATATATTCGAATCGATTCAATGCCAGCCGGGCTTTCGTGTCGCCCTGGGGCATTTCGAATCAAGGATCCGGAATTAAATTCGACAAATGCGAGCGATCATTAGGGAATATACGCTTAGAAACGTGTAACTTGCTGCTACAAACTGGGCTAATACGTCTCCCTCACGTTGTTATTTGATCAATCCTAAATAATCATTATTTTTAATCTTGTTCATGTTCATTTCTTTGAACTGCTTCTTCAAGAACTCTTCTGTAGTTCTCAGACATCTTTCTATTAATCTTGATGGCTTCTATGTTGATTTATTTAAGTTAATTTTTATACAGAACCAATGTGTACAATAATTTATGTCTGATTTTACAAACTTGTCTTTTAGAATAAGTGTGCATTATACACTGCTAGGTTGTGACTTTTGTTATTTGATCAATTCTAAATAATCACTATTTTTAATCTTGATGTTCATTTTTTTGAACTGCTTCTTCAAGAACTTTTCTGTAGTTCTCAGACATCTTTCTGTTAATCTTGATGGCTTCTATCTTGATGTTTTTAAGTTGATTTTCATAAAGAACCAATGTGTACAATAATTTATGTCTGATTTTACAAACTTGTCTTTTAGAATATATTTGTATTATACATTACTAGGTTGTGACTTTCAGAAGTCTTCATATGTATATCTATTTAAAGCTTCATAGTGCAATGTTTTCTATTTCCACATCTTTTACTGAAGCCTTCAAACAACTGAATCTGCATAATGCAGAAACTTGTAATAACTTCTGATACTAAAATCCATGCACATTAATATTTTAAATACTCGTCAAAGCCGTGTAACAGATACCCAATACGCAAAGTGGAGTAAGACAAAAGTATCCAACAATGGAGCTGACAAAGAATATACGTATTCTGCACATCACATGAGACTTTGAAATATCGTATACTGTTTTATCAGTAAACACGTTACTGTTCAAATAGCTTTTTAATCCAACAATGTAGCAAAAGCGTTAATCCTATTCATTCCAGACACGTTTCGTCTGCTCGCTCAAGGATCAATGGATTTCCATCGAACTTCGTTCCAATGTTCCAAGCGTTCGGTCAGAGTAAACACTCTTTTTCATTGCTGTAATTAAGATATTTGTCCGCTGTGAATGTTCTTGGAAATATCTGGTCGTCGAATTACCACGGTAATTGGTGAATTATCAAATATTCACTTTTAACAGTGGAAAAGGGCCTTCAGTTATTACTGAATACATTGATGATGATATTTACTGTGTTAATATTATAATATCTTAATAATGTTACAATACAGTAGTGTACAGTAGCGTATGACAGCTAATATATTATAAGAAAATTTATAGTGATCAATGGCCACTGTACACTGCACAGTATGTCAGAAAACCTTTTAAATTTAAGGAAAACTAGCACCATCTATTAAAGTCTAAAACAGTTAAAAAATTAATCGTTTCGTTGTAGGCTCGTATCGACGCACGGTTAAATGCAGAATTTCTATCGATTCCAAGTTGGAGAACGAATTACCACGATCCAATGAATCCCGACCGCAAATCCAGATAAGAGCAATCGTTTGCTCGATCGACGAGAAACCACGCGACTACAAAGAACAGTCCCTAACGAACAAAATACGAGTCCAACGAAACAGATATCTGTACTCCACTTAAACAGAGTGCTAATTAAGCGGAATTTTTTCCTAAGCTTCGCTCGGTTTGATGAAATTCGTAAACGTTTCACGGATTGTTATTTAACCTCTGGAATTTACATTTTAATTTCTAATATGAATTTAGAGCTAGTTCTTGGTCATTGAGCCATTATTTTTCAGAATTGTTCATACTTGCACAAGGGTATATTTTTAAAGTGCAATCTCTCTATAGACTTACACAGTATGTCGGAAAAGAAACGGAACTTTTTAAATTCAAGGAAAACTAGCGCTATCTATTAAAACATGTTGTCTGAAAGTATACCTCCCCTACAAAACACAGAAATTATTGGAATCGAGCAACGGATTGCAAACTTATAGCGTTTAACGCGACAGAAACTTTCGACACCGTGTCACAAAATCACGGGCAAGCGCGACAAATTGCTCGCGTTGAATATTGCGAGATCTTATCAAAGCCAGAAACTGTACATTGGAATCAATTGTAACTAGTGACGAGACTCGGTGCTTCAAGTATGAACCTCGAACAAAGCGCCAAAGTGCTGCGTGGAAATCTCCAGGCTCTCCAAAATCAAAAAATTGCGATTCCAGAAGTCCCTCGAGAAGACGATGTTAATTCGCTTTTACGATTCTAAAGGAATTATACTTCGGGAATTCGTTCCACAGGGACAAAATGTTAATGGCGAATATTATCTGGGTGTTGTGGAACATTTGTGGAAGAGGATCGTTCGTGTGGGGCCCGAATATCGAGCTCCGGGAAGTTGGTTTCCGTTGCACGATAACGCACCATGTCAGAACTGTCTGTTCGTGAATTTTTGGCGAAGAAGTCTGTGTGCTCCATCCTCCAAATCCTGACTTATCTCCATATGACTTTCTTTTTGCAAAACTGAAGTTAGTTATAAAAGATTTCATGACACTGTTATACAAGTCCAAGCAGCTGTGACAAGGTTTGAAACGATTCCGCAACCCATAAAAAATCTATGTCAACGTTGTGTGAGCCCAGCGTATTGATTGAATGTTTGAGGTTCCTAATATTTTTTAATCTTAAGTCTAAACGGTATCCTTCGAAATCTCGCGGTGCTCCATCTTGGAATTGCTTTACGTGAATTCGCAAGAGTCGAGGAGGAGAATCGACGGGGAAAACGATCGATTCGTCGGAGAGTACGATTGCCTCGTAGCTCGGGTTCCTTGATTTTCCCATTTCCTTTGCGCCGTGTACGCAGCTCGTTGCACGGTTTATACCTGGCTTCGGTAATTGAGCGATTCGATGCTCGACGACCGATCGGTCAAACTTGTGCCATCGATGAGAAAGCTTCAAAGGCTTTCCCGGCGAATCTCTTATCTCGCCAAGTGGATGTCTTTACGGCTTCCCTTCTTATCCTAATCTTAGCCGAACCTATCGGGTCTCCCAGGACCTGCACGTTTCTTTCCCTCCCTTTCTTTTACTTCGCCTTGAGAAATGTCCATCAACGATTCCATTTTTATCGGCCACATCGGAACACCGGATGCGCTGGTCCCAAAGGAGGAAATTCTACTTTTTTGATTTTTGCTCGCTTGCGAATCGCTTTTCATGGAATATTCCACTGGGTGAGTTTCGATAATACAAAATTCTGATAATACCAAAATTGGGATACCAATTTTACTTTTTTTGATGCACGTTTTTTAAGGAACTCGGACTTAAAGCTTGCGGAAACTATAACGAGATTATAATGGATCATAATCTTGATGAACTTTATCTTGGAAGTCTTAAGGTCACTCAGAATTGGAGCAACATTATCAATGCAACACAGGAGCCTCTGATTCCTTGGATTCTGCAGCATTGTAACAAAATTGTAATGGATCATAATCTTAAGGGATGAAGTTTACTCTGAAAGTCTTAAGGTCACTCAAAATTGGAGCAACATTACCAATGTAACACAGAAGCCTATGATCTCCTCAGCAGAGATTGTAACAAAATTATAATCATTCTATCTATAATCTTAAGGGATGAATTTCACCGTGAGAGTCTTAAGGTCACTCAAAATTGGAGCAACATTACCAATGTAACACAGAAGCCTATCATCTCCTCCTCAGCAGACATTGTAACAAAATTGTGAAATGCAACACAGGAGCCTCTGATTCCTTGGATTCTGCAGCATTGTAACAAAATTGTAATGGATCATAATCTTAAGGGATGAAGTTTACTCTGAAAGTCTTAAGGTCACTCAAAATTGGAGCAACATTACCAATGTAACACAGAAGCCTATGATCTCCTCCTCAGCAGAGATTGCAACAAAATTGTAATCATTCTATCTATAATCTTAAGGGATGAATTTCACCCTGAGAGTCTTAAGGTCACTCAATATTGGAGCAACATTACCAATGTAACACAGAAACCTATGATCTCCTCCTCAGCAGAAATTGTAACAAAATTGTAATCATTCTATCTATAATCTTAAGGGATGAATTTCACAACATGAACATTAACATTAACATTATCAAAGAGCCTGTAATTCCTTGGAGCACTGTAACAGAATTAATGGATAATCTTAAGGGATTTTTACCCATTAAAAATGGAAGCAATATTACCAATGTAACGCAGGGACCTCTGATCCCTTGGAACCTCGTTCACGTTGCGGAGCATCGATCGACAGATTCAAGAATGTTCGCGGCAACTGGCTAGAGCGTTTACTGGCCTCCACGGAAAATATATCGTCGAAGCTCCGCTGGGGTCAGTTACAACCGCGGCTTTAATGCTCGCGGTAAACGCGCAACAAGGGGATACACGTGTTCCACGTGTTCGCTCTGTAATTTTGAATCAGATTGAAACGTTATCGCTTGGGAAAAGTTTAATGAGAGTTACAAGACAGCGAGATATTTCTTGTAACATGTATCTTAATGTTTAACGAATGTATACTTAACTGATCTTGGTATCTTGGTATCTTTGTCAACGTGAGTATACTTCAAAGGAATTACAGGATTATTAAATGAATGCAGTATCAAATGAATGCACTGATGTACTGAATGGAAACTGGTATCTTGGTACCCGTGTATACCTTGTCAATTACACCTGAAAGAAACAAATCCTAAAATTATGAACTGAAGTATGGTGGAAATGAAAGAGTAAAAAAGAACAAGTAATTGTGTAGCATGTGATGGATAAAATTGGCGACTGGATTAGACTTCATAAAATCCAACAATGGCGCAGATTCCGAAACAATGGACTCTCAACCGCGGATCTTCGAATAATTCAAATGCAGCTTCGAATTAATTACAGGAAATGCTTCGTCGCTAGGATGCTCTCGTATGGAAGCTCTTGGTAAAAAGTTTTAATTGAAAAGCACCGGCTCGATGTTTAGGACGAATCGATCGCGAACACCTGCAAAGCTGCTGCATACCTGCCGCACTCGAAATAATTTCGTAATTAAGCACAGATTGCTCTGATTGTGTTGCTACTGTTCTGGTAAGACGCGGGGAGAAAGAGAACGGTGCAATCCGATTATTCTTACCCACTCCGGAGACTTCGGAAACAGATACAAATCGATGAGTCTTCGTGGTTCGTTTAACTCGAATGGGGAGGTCAGAGATGATTGCTTCCGAATACGTGTCATTAAACTGCTGTGAAATTATACATTGTGACTCTCGTTGCGTGCATTTTTACACCACGTGCACAATTCTTCTTCTTTGAGCAACTTCAACAGGGATGGAATTAACAATTTCTTAAGCAAGGTTAAAGTTAACAATTTTTTATGACTTCTATGTGTATATTAGCACTTGGCTGCTCAGATGAGATTATTGACATCATTATTTCAGGTTTATTTATATCAGCAAGGGATGAAGCTAACAACTGTCTGTGACTTCCATGACTTCTGTGTATATTAACACTTGGCTCAGGCAAGATCATTGACATCATCATTTCAGCAAGTTCAATCACATCAACAAGAGATGAAGCTAACAATTAATTTTCTATGACTTCCATATGTATATTAACCTCTGGCTGCTCAGACAAGATCATTGACATCATCATTTCAGCAAGTTCAATCACATCAGCAAGGGATGAAGCTAACAATTTTCTAAGTCTTCTATGACTTCCATATGTATATTAACCTCTGGCTGCTCAGACAAGATCATTGACATCATCATTTCAGCAAGTTTAATCACATCAGCAAGACATGAAGCTAACAATTTTCTATGACTTCCATATGTATATTAACCTCTGGCTGCTCAGACAAGATCATTGACATCATCATTTCAGCAAGTTTAATCACATCAGCAAGGGATGAAGCTAACAATTTTCTATGACGTCTGTGACTTCCATATGTATATTAACCTCTGGCTGCTCAGACAAGACCATTGACATCATCATTTCAGCAAGTTCAATCACATCAGCAAGAGATGAAGCTAACAATTTTCTATGACGTCTATGACTTCCATATGTATATTAACCTCTGGCTGCTCAGACAAGACCATTGACATCATCATTTCAGCAAGTTTAATCACATCAGCAAGACATGAAGCTAACAATTTTCTATGACTTCTATATGTATATTAACCTCTGGCTGCTCAGACAAGATCATTGACATCATCATTTCAACAAGTTCAATCACATCAGCAAGACATGAAGCTAACAATTTTCTATGACTTCCATATGTATATTAACCTCTGGCTGCTCAGACGAGATCATTAACACCTGGCTGCTCATACAACAAGCTCATCAAGTTTCCTTAAATTAATTCTTCAAAAATACAGCCAACTAGTTTGACAGTCACTAAGGTATTAATATCGTTAATTCTACATATGCACGCAGTCAGACTACACGTGTCGTCAAATCCTGAAGTGTGGCGGAGGCTCCTGCTGGACACGTCTCGAAACTGTTCGGTACACAACGGATCTCGTAGCTATGCGACGCTCTATTATCGCATGTATAATCGCCCAATCGACCGGCCGAATTCCCACAACAACCTGACCGTTTCGGCTGGATACGCGATTTAGACGTTTCCGATGCTTCCCGAATTATTGCCGTCACCGGATGCAACGTGACGGAACTGTTGTACAGAACTTTTCGGATGAGAAGCTTGCTGTGTCCAGACTGGGTTTGCGGCGAAGTGCACTTTAATCCTAATCTGACTTTCCAAAATTTAATTCATCAATTGTGGGTAGAGTGAGAAGATGACTTATGATCTTTTCAATGAACTTTTAGGATCTTGCTGATAGACCTTGCAGAGTTAGAGGACATTATGATCTGGTTTCTTAATATGGTCCTTGTGTGGGCTCTGACTTTTTGTCCCATGAACAAATGCAGTTATCCAGGTGTTCAATATCAGTTGTCTCCAATATTCATGACTCAGTCTTCATCTTCAGTGAACCATTATCTTCATCAGACTAATTCTCTGCATTCGTTTGGACCCTGCAAAAATAATATCATATGAGAAAACATTGTCAGAAGAAATTCAGTCAAAGAACAACATTCATATGCATTCATTTGGACCCCATAAAAATAATGTCATACAAAAAAACAATGTAAGAAGAAATTCAGTCAAAGAACACCATCAAAGAAGACCAAGTGCGTTACCAGTTCAGTTATAGATAAAAAGAAGAGGCGTGAATGGGTGATAAAAGAAGAATCCTCTCGATTACAGTTTCATATTGAATTTTTCATCGAGCAGTACGTGGACAGCCTCTTCATCGTAATTAGATGTTCGAGCCGGCCAGTGAATAACGATACCGCGAACTGCACAAGCTGGCTTTGCTTCCTGGCTCCTCCACCCTTCGTCACGCTTTCCTCGCTCTTTCCGTTTTATTTCTTTTCTTACGATATGCCAGACACAAAGTCCGCTCACGTTCCGCGAGCTCCGTGCGCGCGCACGCCCCGCGAACAGGTAACTCTCGAAGGAACTCCGGCAAAGTATCCTGTATTAAATTACAGACCAGGCGTAAATCTTCGCTGGGTATGTTCGTGCGAGATGGAAACTTTCTTATTTTTTTGTCCTTCCCTGTTTCTTCCTTTTCCATCAACTTTTTCGACCGGCTTTGTATAATGGACAACTGAGATCCTTGGATGTACTTAAGACTAGCTTATTAATTCTTATACTGTTATTGGTTCATTTTTTAATATTCTTTGTGTATGACCATTTCAACGCTTAAAATTGATGGCTCAGTAAGGGGATGAAAATCTGTTTCAAAGGTAATTGCATGTAACGAATGCGTCAAAGTTAGAACTAAGATTCCGTGTATAAAATTAGCGAAAGTTAGACAGGTTGCAAGACCTCAAAGTCCGGTCGAACAATATTCGTTCGAAAAACGAGGAAGAAGGTTGGAAGTTACCGAACTAGAGTACGTCGCGATCAAAGCTAAAGGTAGCTTTGTGGCGCGTTCGCCAGCCAGGATACGTGAACAGGAACAAAGGAGGTATCGCGACTACGGGAATTACGTACACACAGTGCGTCCGGATGGAAAAGAAAAGGCGACACGGTGGAATCCGAAGAGGATAAAATAGGAATTGTTGGGAACTTCACGGTTCGCCGCGGGCGCCCTCTGTATCGACGCTGTATCTTAAGTTCCTCTTCAATCGAACGGGAAACATCCCCCGTTATTATCCCGATTTCCAGTTTACGGAATTCGCGTATTCTCCGGAGTAAAGTGTACAGATGTTCAAATGATGGCTCATTAAAGAATATCTAAATCGTTCGATGTGTCGGATAACGAGGAACAAAGCTAACAATTTTAAGATACACGCTTTTTTCCTCCGAGGGATTCCCTTTGAACCTTTAATAAAATTGAAGTCCCGGAAACGATCTCATTAATCTTTTTAGCGACCTCGACCTCGTCAAAGCGTTTATTTATTTCCAGGAAAAAAGGAAGATTACGGATAGGGAAAAATGAAAATCCTCTTCGAAGGTGCTTTCAACGAAATTAGAATTTCAAAAATGTCAGGCTAAATCACCCTCTCGTGTGAGCCAACTTATTAATCTCTTTTTCTCCAGCTTTTGTCGGCCGACGCGTCTTCGACCCCCTTCCTTCTGGTTTCTGTTTCTTTTCCCAGCGCCGATGAAGCGATTCTCATCTTTATTCATCGTGTACCAGGCCCCGTACATTGTACATTACTCGAGCGAACTATTAATTCTCGTTTGACACTCGGAGACCGATGGCGCAGACACGTCCGAGTACTTTTTACGATCTCCATGATCGATTACCGGCTTGCACGGAACATATGTATCCTCTCACGATGTTTTGCCTTTCCTCGATCCAGAGTAAACCGAGCGTGCCGCAAGGACGTGTGTACATTGCCGACGATGGAAACAGAGTTGCCCAAAATGACGCATCTAAAACACGAATTTTCCAAATATTTCACTGTCAAGTTTCATCCCCAATCTTTGGCAAGGTCTTTCAACCCGAATTTCAATCGTTGAAATATAATTACACGCTCGCAACTGGAACGCGTTCTCCAGGGGACATTATTACAATTATGCCGAAGCGAGAATGGAATTGGAATGTAAAAGTAAAACGAGAGACCGTACATCAGATCGCTAATATAATTTCCTGCGGAAATCGGCCAATTTAACTTCCTCGTTTTCCGGCGGCCATGTAATAAATAAGAAAGCTGCCAGATCTGTGGCTTTTCCTCTTATGCGGAATTATGTACCTTTTCGCGTAATTGTCTGGCCACCAATATCCAACTCGTCTGAAATTCGAACGGGTGGATGTACATACATTCTATTCTACAAAGTGTGTACTTCTCAAAGGATATAGCTGGATGAGACTAATGACAGTGCAATTTTGTTTAAATAAAATACAAATAAATATTCTATATCCTTTGAAAGTAACGATTGATTATTTTATATTATGACGATCTTTCTGTATCGAAAATTGCACTCTTATACAAGATATCTCACAACTAACGTTCCTAAAATGAAGAGGAGTTAATTCTGAACAAGATTTCCCTTTGCAAGAATGTGCCCCGTAGCTTCGTTTTTGAATTATTAAGGAAAAACACCGGCCAATCAGAGCGCTCTGATTGCGCGCGCTCCGCCGCCATGTTGGAAGCCGTCGCCTCGCGCCTGCGCGCGCATCCGATTGTCTTTCCGTAATAATTCAAGAACGAAGCTTCGAACCACATTTCTGCAAAGAGAAATCTTGTTCAGAATCACCTCCCCTCAGACACTAGTGAGTATAATACAGGCAAGCGTCGCAAACTATTCCGTTTTAACGAAAGTCGTGAAAATGTGCTACAAGCGATACACGAGGCAAAGTTTTTAATTGCACATGGCGGTATAACGGCGAGAGGTGTTCGAATTCTTTGGAGGAGGCTGGGTGGGATTTGAAGTGTTCAAATCCACAACCGCTTAACGCAAGGTACATATTTAGTTTCCGTACTTACGTTACGTGTAAAATTCCCTGCAACAAGAATTTCTAATTAAATAATTTCAAAGTTTCTGCAGCCTCGCGAATTACCGGGAGAGACAAATATATCTCGCAGCTTCCCCAGCGATGCGCTATTACCATCTTGTACAGCAAGCTTGATTAAGGCGAGTAATCTTCATTGTTTTTTTTACTTCATTTAGTCTCGACAACTGTTGTTCGAACTGTTGTTTCTAAACAGCGCTTTCCAATGTGCAACAATGCGAGCAGAAACAAGGGATATTGGCTACCGTAGACAATCGATTGTGCAGAAAAACGCCATTTTGTGGCTGTGTGTCGGTTGTTAACACGCACGGTCACAAACTATCTACGTACACATTCTACGTGTACTACGTGTACGTTCGATCGCTTTAATTCCTATTTTATGAACTCTGTACAATGGAGCTGCCTGCAACCGTGATGGTCAAATGTCCAAATAAATTGCAGTGACTGAAGTCTTGCACCTGCAGTGACTCTAGGGAGTATTCTGAAGAATCCAGAAAAGGTGAAGAAAGACCGGCGTGAGATCTGAAACAGAGAGTTCTGAAACGAGTGGAATATTTGAAACGGCGCTTGGAGCAAGAAAATTATTACAATTAGCGAAACGGGTCACAATACGTGCGACGTACGAAACAAAACGCGTGTAGTCAGGCAGCGGCGATTTCCCGAATTTAATGACGTTATACGTAGATTTAGTAACGGCCGGACACGTGACAGCTGCATTAAATTTTCGCATTAATTTGCTAGCTAGCAGCCTCCCCGTAGCGGCCCTCTTCGCGAATTAAACGTCCCGGAACCGATGGAGGAGGAGCTATCGCGATTTTTTTTTCACCCTCTCCCTTTTCACTCTTTTGTCTCGATGCGCTTTTTGTTCGTACGAACGATTATTCGCGTTACGCTTCGAATTTATCATTGCGATTTGGCCGGCCCTTTTGAAAAGGCCCTGAATAATACCGTACGAGAGCATTGACAAAAAAGGCCGGGTAATTCTGTCCCTTCTGCCCCGCACGAAAGCTTTTTACAATTTATGGCGAATTGGAAAAACGGCGCACTTGTTTCTGACGTTTAAAACGGGAAGGACAAAGAAAGAACGAGACGGATAGCGACACTGTTGATTGAAAGTGACCCGCTTTGGAGCGAACGTTCGTTAATTTGTTAATTTGTCCGTAGAGGGTCAGCGGGGAAAAAAAACACCGACGGTTTTTTGTTTGCCTCGTTCTTTATTTATAATGAATCGACTCTGCGGTTCGTCGTTCGAATTCCGGGTCTGATTTTTTATTCATGTCGCTACCAGAGGCATAGATTCTCGCGGGAACGATTTTTTTCTTTTTTTCAATGCGATCCTGATCGACCATCGAACGAAAATATCAACGGCACGTTGAAAGTAATAAAACGCAAGGAAAGAAACTGGGAGTCCGATAGAAATTACTCGCTATTTTTTAACAGACCGAACAAAAAGAAATGATAAATCGACGTTCTAGGAGTTTGCAGACGATGCTTTTGCCTTTATTTTGGCGGGATTGCTTCCGCTATGGAACGACAACGACTGATTCAGCAATAACTTATCGCAAAGACTGATATACACCCACTCCATTATCCGAGATACTCTCTTTTCTATCGTGTCGACATTTTCCGATATGCCTTCTCCCCCCTTGTTAAACACTGGGTGCGTGCACGCCTTCCCGCGAACGCCATGTTCGACTTTCCACGGAATATTTCCTCTCCGGTGAAAATATTTCGGTCGTTTGACGCTTTGAATATTCCAGCTTCGGTGATTACGCTTCTTTTTTCCTGTGTACGTTCAATCAAGTCTGCGTTTGACGCTCCAAGACTTACTGTTCTATTTACATTTAAGTGGATCGAAATTCCTCTTCAAATCATTTAACTTTACTTTTTAAATCGTTTTTCTATATTACGTATCTTAATTTCATTCCTCTCTTCAAACGAAACAATCTTTTCTTCGTATCTTATTACTTAATGCTTCCATGTTTTACCAGATGGCTGTAAACAAGATGGACATAATATTCAAGTCTGTATTTGACACTGCAAGTCTTACGGTTCTATTTATATTTAAGTGGATCGAAATTCCTCTTCAAATCATTTAACTTTACTTTTTAAATCGTTTTTCTATATTACGTATCTTAATTTTATTCCTCTCTTCATGCGAAACATTCTTTTCTTCGTATCTTATTACTTGATGCTTACATGTTTTACAAGATGGCCGTAGACAAAATGGCCATAATGTTCAAGTCTGTATTTGACGTTGCAAGTCTTACTGTTTTATCTACATTTAGGTAGATCACAATTCCTCTTCAAATCATTTAACTTTACTTTTTAAGTCGTGTTACTATATTACATATCTTAATTTTATTCTTCTCTTCAATTTTATATTCCTCTTTTCTTCATATACTCTGTCTTGTATTTACAAGATGGCCGTTAACAAGATGGCTGCAATGTTCCAAAGTCTATGAAAGTTTTTCTGCATCTCCATGCATAATCATGGGCCTCAACACATTCAAATCCAACCATACAATATTCCATACTTCAGCAGCTATTTTTAAGGTTGTAAAATCTCTGAGACATGTAAGATATCTTCCATACTGTTACATCCCTGTAAAAAATAAAAATTAGCACTTATTTGTATAATCAAATCCCATACAAGAAAATGAAATCCTGATGACCCAAAGTGAAGTTTTAATCAATATATACAAGCATACCAAAACTTAATACCGTCGATTTTGCGAGCTATTTCCATCCTTTGGAGTTCATTTTTCAACGCTCGTCAGGGAGACATTTCAGATATCGAAATTCGCTTCGCTGGGAGATGGACGGATAATCGATAACACCATACAGCGGTCGATCACTCGTACTCCGAAACAGGGGTGTGTTTAACGGTGATCTCTATCGTTAAGACGTCAGACTTTTTCCCCGGAAGTTTCCGCGGAAGAGTACGCAATTGAAGAAATCGCCGATATCCTGTTGCCAGGAACTGGTTATGTTCATTTGACGAGTTACGCTGTTTGAGGTGGTAACTCGCACGGCGAACTGGCGCATAGATAGAACAGTCGTTACCCTGCGGAAGTGTCTTCAGCTTAGGGATCTGGAATACACTGCAAGCCTTGTCAGGATCGAAATTGGCGTCGGGACGATAATTTTCCTCTTGTTATGCACTGCGCCACGTTCGCGCGGTTGTCAAATTATTGTCGCTCGGTAAACTCATCCCTGGATAACGGCATAGTTGTGACAACGCTAAAGGGATACAAGGGATCAGTAATCTAACCTTTGCTAAGAATTTACATTTTACCGAAAGCAAATAAGGATACGTACACTTTGGTGTTAAGCTTCTTTAGGAACCTTCCAGCATTTGTCTTCGATTGAAAGCCTCAGAGAAACCTTCAGAACTCAAAAAGTACCAGAGGATTAGAGTCTGAGAGCTTACGAGCTCAAAGAGAAAGATTTGGAAAAGGAACACGTTTTATCAGCAAAGAGGGATCCTTCCTATTTCCTTACTAATGTATAATCATTAAGAGAATCATCAAACAGAAACGATTAATTTTTTAGGTCATACCGATTCTAATATTCTGTGAAAGAACTGGTTTTGCATATTAAAGGTTGTGTACACATTTACCCGTCCCTTGTTTACCTCGTTGGGATACATTATTCAAGCTGTCAACGAAAAGTAACCATTGATGAACGATCTTTATAAGATTTATCCTTTTGTGATTCCACGGTAAAGTGCTCTATAATTAAACTATGCCATTCAATGGTTAAATACGTACAACGACCAACCCCTCTGTACATATTCTGATGGATGGGGAGTTTTCCAGCCACATTTACTGTGCTCAAAGTGCTGTGCATTACATGTGCACGAGTGTTACATGGTCTGGCTGTGCATATTAGAGTTAGAGGCAATCGATTGGCTTTATAATTTCATGCTATTTACCCTCGATAACATTCTTTTTACGTAATAATGAAGCAATCGACGTTGTTAACGATTTTACTATGACCGAGCACGAATGTTAGTTCTTTAACCCCTGAGTCGTTGCCCTAATTCTAAGGTTGACTTTTGAAAGTGCATTTATAAATTTTTATATTTATAATAAGTATGTTAGATCAATGTATCGTGGAACGCAATGACCAACTGCTTATGAGAAACGGTTCAGTGAAATATTTGGAGAAACGATGTATAGTTTGTATCTGAAAGATTAATTTTGCAGCAGTAATAATAAACAGGCGGTAAAATTTCTTTGCAACCGAGAGCAACGTTGCTAGTAGTGAAAACGATCATTGGCAAGGCCGGTCTGCATGTGCAGTCTGCCGCGGTAAAAGCCGGTGACCTAAATGTCGCCTTTATGCCAGGGGCGTATCTGTCATACGCGCAGGTGCACCCTATCCCACGACCGCCCCCAGGATATTAGCAGTACTCTCCTCTCGACAATTTCTTCCTCATTCTCTCGCTGCTATTCTTCCCTATTTCTGCCCTTGCGTCTCCTTCATTTTGTGTTATCGAGACAGCAAAAAACGAACGTTTATCCAGTTGTTTATCTGCTTATCCGGTTGTCGATCCGTGTCCATTTATCTATTCGTCCATTTATCTAGATTTTTTTGTTTCCACATCGACGGCTTTCATTTTCTGCTCTACATTTCTCGCGGCACGCCCCTCACCCCACCCGCCGTT